TCGACCTTCTTGGGCAGCAGCTGGTGCTGCAGGTCGCCGTGGCCCAGACTGCCAAAGGCTCTATGGCCCCAGCTCCAGACGGCGCCGTCGGAGGTGATTGCGAGGCTGTGTTCCTCTCCCGCCGACACGGTGACGACGCGCTGGCCAGCAAAGGCCTCGACCTTCTTGGGGAGCGGCTGGTTCTGCTCGTCGCCGTATCCCAGCCTGCCGCGGGTACCCCAGCCCCGGCTCCAGACAGCTCCGTGGCCCAACCGGCCCCGCTCGTCGCCGTGGCCCAGCTTGCCACCCGTTCCATCGCCCCAGCTCCAGACATCTCCGTCGGCGGTGATCGCGAGGCTGTGACTATATCCAGCTGACACAGCGAGGACACGCTGGCCAGCCAGAGCCTCGACCTTCTTTGGCAGCAGCTGGTTCTGCTGAACGCCGTGGCCCAACTGGCCGCAGCCTCCACCGCCCCAGCTCCAGACGGCGCCATCGGAGGTGATTGCGAGGCTGTGGTCCTCTCCCGCCGACACGGTGACGACACGCTGGTCAGCAAAGGTCTCGATCTTCTTGGGCAGCAGCTGGTTCTGCTCGTCGCCGTGGCCCAGCTTGCCAAACCTTCCCCAGCCCCAGCTCAGGACGGCTCCGTCGGCGGTGAGGGCGAGACTGTGGCTGCCTCCAGCCGACACGGCGACGACGCCACCCGCCAAGGCTTCGACCTTCTTCGGCCACGGCTGGTCCTGCTCATCGCCGTGGCCCAACCGGCCGTACCCTCCATCGCCCCAGCTCCAGACAGCGCCGCCGGCGGTGAGGGCGAGGCTGTGCTTGACTCCAGCCGACACACTCACGGCACGCTCGCCGCCCAACGACGGGAGGCGCGTGGGTGTGTTCAGCCGCGTCACGCCCTCACCGTGGCCGAGTACCGGTGGGTCGACGGTCGGCGCAGGGCTGGGGCCCCCCTCGCCGCCGCACGACGAGAGCCGCCCCTCGCCGTCAATGAAGAGGCTGTGCCGATCGCCTGCCGCCGCCCTCGCCGGCGGGTTGGACTCGCGCAGCAGCGCGAAAAAGCACAGCCACCGCACGGCACAGCTCTCACCCTCTGGCAGCGCCGGCAGCTCGAAGCCGCGCTCTTGCGCCCACAAGCGGATGGCCTCCACCGCAAGCGAGGCGTGGAAGAGCAGCGAGACGGCCGCGACGCAAGCGATGTCGGCGGGATCGCAGTGAGAGAGGGCGCGCACGAGGAGCTCTCTGGGGAGGTCGAGGAGGCGGATGGGCGGCGGCGTGTCTGGCGAGGGAGCGGCGGTGGAGGGGGCGGCGAGGCGGCGCGAGCGGCGGCGCGGGGCAGACATCGCGAGAAAAAGAATATCGCGCGTAGTAGCAGCAGCAGCATTGGCCTGCCCTTCGCAAGTTTGTGTGGTTCACTCTTGGGAGGACCCCTGCTTCGACGAGGAAAAAAGAATTTTGCCACGCGGCGGGTTAGGTGCTGTGGCCCGGTTCGCGCTGCTCCCAGTACGAAGCTCAGAGCCGCTCTCGTCTGCTGCTCTCTTCCCACACCGAGCAGCTGTGGGAGCGACTGCGGCCAGAGCAGACATGCCCGACGCCGACGACGCTGACGCACTCACGTGCTTCACCAGTGTCCACTCCAACGCAGACCTTTGGGTGCTCGTGCTCGGGCGCGTGCCGCTCCACTGCCTGCCGCGGTGCACGGCGACGTGCACCGCGCATCGCCAGCTCCTTCAGCGATGCACGCAGCACATCACCCATTTGGGCGTGTGCCTCCTTCCCGGCCCCGAGGCGTCCCTGTCATCCCGCGGTACCACCGTCCCGCGTGTGTGCTTCCTCCCGGCGACGCACGACTCCGCCTTCCTCGTTGGTGCGAAGGTGCACATCAATGACGCCCTCAGTGTCACACGGGACGCGTCGCGTGCGCAAAGCATTCTGCCACGACTCACGGGCCTGCTTCCCCGCTGTCGGGTGCTGCGGGTGGATCTCAGCCCAATCCCTCACGAGGTGAGGGGCTCGCCCACAGCGACCGGCCCGAGGGCCGGCAACGGCATCGACCGCCTTGACATGGTCGCCTCCTGGCTGGCCGAGCGGCGTCCACCGGCGAAGCGCGGCCCCGAGCCGTGGATCGTTATGCAGACGCGACTGACGCACCTCGCCATCACCTGCGAGGCGCTCAGCGATGAGCCGTCCGAAGATTCCGGCGGAGGCTTCATCCCCTACGCGCCGCACGTGCGAGGGCGCCGCACACGCGAGGCCCGTGATTCAGTCACCTCGATCTTCATGATGTGCGCCGTTGGCTGCCAGCAGACGCTGACCCACCTCGACCTCACTGGGCTTGGCCCGATCGTGCTGCCCGCTCTGGTCTGCCTCGACCTCCCCGTGCTTCAGCTGCTGCGCCTCGGCTTGGAGCGGCCCAGCGGCGCCTGGGCTGACGCGCACTCCGAGCCGTGGCACAAGAACACGCTCTCGCTGCTGGGCGGCTGCTTCCCCACGCTCACCGGCCTCGACATCGGCTACGCAAACGTGCGCGGCGGCGTCTCGTTTGAGGAGGTTGAGACGCTGGCCACCTGCTGCGAGGGCCTCCGCCACCTGGACCTGTCGATGGTGATGACGTACCGAGATTTCTCGCCCTCGCTGGTGTCCCTCAGCAAGCAGGCGCCGAACCTGACCTCGCTCGCCATCCACGGCCTGAATCTGCAGACGCACGCGCTCGAGACCTTTGCGCGCGGCTGCGCTCAGCTCGCGCGCGTGCACTTTGTGCACTGCGGCTACTCCGCCACCGGCCTCGCCGCGTTCCTGCGCGGCGCAAGACGGCTGCGCGACATCGACCTCTCCCTCGGCTGCTGCTTCGACGACGAGGAGATTGACTACGAGGCGCTCCTCGACCGTTGGGTGGTGGACAGAGCGGCCGACGAGTCCAGCAGCGCTTCACCGCGGGTGGCGGTGCTCACGTACGAGGACGAGGAAAGAAACGGCACCATCCACTGCGAGGACCACCCCGATCACGACTTCTTCACGTGCTACGTGCCGGCCTGGCTGCGCGAGCGCTCGGTCCAGGAGCTTCGAGAAGAGGGCAAGCCGATCGAGGAGCTGTTTGGAGCACGCGATCTCACGAACGAGGCGAGGACGCAGCGCGACAACAGGTACCTGCCGTGGCGCCGCAACACCGATTTTATGCGCCACGGCTGGGTGCGCTTGTTCCACAATCTCGGGCAGCCACATCTCGACGACGGGAACGATTGCAACGGCAAGCGCAGTGTGAGGCCGTTTGACCGCGATTTCCCAGCGGGCACCCTGGCTCGCGGGAAGGGCTGGTGGTGGGACGCGGATTTGAGCGTGAATTGGGACTGAGACGCCCTCAGCCCCTCTGGGGCTTTCCGTCGTCGAGCGTTTTTCCGGGTGGACGGGACTGGCGCGCGCTGCCGCTGCGCGCTAGGTGTGCGTCGCACTGCGCGCGGCGCGATTCCTTGCATGGTTGGCCAGTTGGCGGATCCTCTTGCGCACACCTTTTACATACTGTCATTATGTATGTGGATCTATCTCTCCCAAATCGCGCAGGCACTTGGTAGGACATGGAGCACTTGGAGTGTAGGCTTACCACCCTAAAAAGTAAAATACGAAATAAATAAATAAAAACGGACACCTCCGAGGGGACTGTGAGATGGGTAAAAAGGAACACGGCCCGTGCGATCTTTGTGCAGGGTTCTTTGTGGGTGTGGTCGGCGACTAGCAGGGGTCGTCCTGTCTCCCGGTGGCGGGGACTTCTAGCACGCTAGCCGTCTTCCACATTGTCCCTCGGGTCCCTGCTGCTCCTAATCTTTTCGTACATCCTCCTGCTGATCTCCGCAACGAAGCAACGTCCTGCTCCCTCCCTCGTCTCGCCCTGCGCGTCTGCTCCGCCTCACCATCGTCTGCCCTGCGTCGTCTGGTGACAGGTCCTCCATAGCCGGTTGAGGTCGCCGCCCTCCTCGTGCCTCTTCCCAACGTTCCCTCGGCGGCCGATGCCGTCTGCTCCGGCTCCCCAGTCCCCGGGTCTGCCCTGCTCTCGTCTGCACTAGGTTCTGTTTTGTCATCACTGGTGCCCCTCCCCTTCTCTCTCCTCTTCTTGTATGCTTTGTACATCGCGTCGATTCCTTTTCGCGTGAGCACCACCCTGAAGCCCGCCCAGCAGCTGAACCGCTCCCTAAGAAGGAGCATCATCTCTCACCCACTTCGCTCGCTGCCCACTGTCTCCGCTCCCTCCCGCTTGAGCCGCCGTCGCGGCCCTCGTTCGTCCCACTGGCTGTTGGCCCGTCCCTGCGTTGCCTGCGTTATCCCTCCTCCTCCGCGACTCCCTCAAGGCCGGCCGGGCCTCCTTCCACCCAGCGAAGAGCTTCCTCAGCCACTCGATGTGTTCCTCTCTCTTCATTATGCGCGCCGTCGCCTCATCATTGAGCTGGATCCACCTCTGCACCGCTCCCGTCGCCGCCTCGGCCACGACTTGCAAGTTCCTCGTGATCCCGGCGCCAAGGTCCCTCCGACTCTTCTCCGAGAGATCATCTGACACGAGCCGCACAAGCCGCTCGTCCGTCGCCTGGAAGCCCGACTGCGCCAAGAAGTGCGCGGTCACCTCCTCGGGAATCGCGGGCGTGTAGTCCCCCTAGTCGCCCATCGCGAGCAGCAGCTCTCCTCCGCCGTCTTCACGACGTCCGTCATCGCGGAGGCGCTCGACGCCGCCATTGTCCACAAAAAGAATTTTACACGCGGGACAAAAAGAATGCCTGGCGCGCTCGTCCTCTCCGGCGCTACCCTCCCTTGGGTTTGCTTTCTTTCTTTTCTTTCTTTACTGTCCGTGGGGCACCCAGACAGACAAAGCAAACACCCACCGGCTAACACGAACCGAGCTAGGTACACAGAGACATGAGAGAACGCCGGCTCAGTCAGAACAAACAACACAAATCGAATGTCACCTATAGACTTAGACAACAATCAAGCTCAAGGGAGGCACGCCAGGGAACGCGTATAGGTGTGTGTCAGGGCTCCCCGAAGCCGAACTTGACCCACTTCCCCGCGTGCCCCGGCTTCGCGTCCATGCCCGTCGCCGTCGCCACGGCTGCCCGCTCGGCGCTGTCCAGCCCGAGCAGAAACTCGATGTCGTCGTAGCCCTCGGAGTCAAACGCGGCAGCGTAGGACTGCAGCCCGATGCGCCCGAGCGCCTCGGCGACGGCCGCCATGCCGCCATTGTCGGGAGGCGCCTCCTTGTGGACGGTGCGCCCGTCGGGCAGGAGCTCGAACAGGCGGCTCGGAGGCAGGGATGGCGCGGCAGGGGCAAAGAGGGAGGCGGCGGCGGCGGCGGCGGCGGCGGGAGCGGAGGAAGGGGCGGTGGGCTCTTGCGCGGGCGCAGCGGCAGACTCGCGCGGGCGCTTCGCGGGGCGCGGCGGTGGCGCCGGCCCCTCCTCGCCGACCGCCCGCGCATACGCCACCGCCGCCTCCACCGCCGTGCCGAAAGCGCCGATGTGTCTAGGCCTATCGTCCACCTTGCCCTGCGCTCGGAAGCCGCCAGAATTCTTCGATACGCCCCTGTACCCGGTGCTGCTGCTGCTGGAGAGGTGCAAGCGCATGCCCTCCGCCTCCGCCACCACCACCACCGCCGGCGCGTGAAGCGTGCAGAACCACGTCTTGCGCCCCGCCTCCGCCTCGCTCCTGAAGCCGGCGCACGCCAGGCAAGCCCAGCGCGAGCAGCCACCAGCGTCGCACCCGACGGAGGGCGCCATCACCTCGCCCGCCTCGTCGTCGAGCAAAGTGCCGCACTCGCAGCAAGTGGCGGCGGAGCCGGCGGGGGCGGCGGGGGCGGCGGGGGCGGTGGGGGCGGCGGGGGCGGCGGTCTGGAAGGCGGGCGTCGCCGGGTCGAACGGGCGCTTCTCGCAGCGAGCCCGCTTGGCCGGCAGCGTAAAATCGTGCGGCCCGCCGTGGCCTGCCGGCAGAATGCAGCCAAAGGCGCCTCCGTCGCACTCGTGCGTGTTGCCGCAGAGCAGGACCGCGGCCTCGGCGGGCGCGTTGGGCGGCGCGCTATCGGCGGCGGCGGCGGCGGCGGCGGAGGACGGAGGGCCACGCGCCGCATCCGAGCGCCGCTTTGGCGGCGGCCCTTCGAACGGCTCGAGCGGGCGCTTCGCCGTGCGGAGCCGCTCCTGAAGCCCTGGCCATAGCTCGTGCCTCCACTTGCACTTGCCGCCCTTGTGGCAGAGGCCCTGTTGGTACTGGCCGCAGAGCCCGGCAGGCAGCCCGACAAGCTCGGCGTCGGTGAGCCGGCGTGTAGGGACGCTTGGGGGCGCAGCAGCCGAGCGGTGCTTTGGCGGCGGCCCTTCCGGCGGCTCGTATGGACGCTTCGCCGTGCGGACCCGCTTGTGCGGAGGGTCCGCCGCCCCCGCCGCCCCCTCCGCCTCCGCCGCTCCTGCCGCCCCCGCCGCCTCCTGCCGCCCCCGCCGCCCCCGCCGCCCCCTCCGCCTCCGCCGCCTCCGCCGCCTCCGCAGCCTCCGCAGCCACAACGTCGCCGTCTGCCGCCTCGGCCGCCTCATCCGTAGCGTCACATTCCGTAGCAGCCCCATACGCGTCAACCCAGTAGGCCTCGCCGGCCGCCTCGTCCTCCTCGTCCATCGGCTCCGCCGCCGCCGCCGCCGCACCCTCCTCCAAGCCATCCTCCGCCGCGTCCGCCGCCACCGAATCCTCCTCCCACTCATCCTCCGGCGCCTCGCACTGCCGGCGAGCCGGGTCCGGGTGCATCCAGCAGAACCACTCGGCAGGCAGTGGGCGGGGCGTCTCGGCGGGCAGCCGCCGCCACTTGTCGCACCGGTCGCAGGCGACCCACAAGCAGCGGGCCTCGCCCTCCTCGTCCTCGCCCTCGCCCTCGTCCGAGCCGAGCGCCTCGCTGCCGGCGGCAGCCGACCCCTGGGCAGGCGCCTCGCTGACCGCCCGCGCGTACGCCACCGCCGCCTCGACCGCCGTGTCGAAGGTGCCGAGGGAGTCCCGCCTTCCGTCCACCCTGTGCCGCGCCTGGAAGCGGCCAGAGTCCTTGCGCACGCCCCTGTAGCCGGTGCCGTTGCTGGAGAGGTACAAGCGCATGCCCTCCGCCTCTGTCACGAGCGGTGCCGGGGTACGCGCCGTGGCACGCGCCAGGAGGGATGGAGGGCTGATCCCCGCCAGCACGCGCTCGCATTCCGGCCCCACCCTCTGCCGGGCCTCGAGCAGGATCTCGGCGCTGTCGCAGGGGCGCGCCCGATCCAAGCCGAGCGGCTCGAACGACCACGACGCGCCAGAACCGACCCGAGTCGACTTGAACCACGCCGTACGCCGACTCGCATCCGCTGGCTGCGTCGCCTCGTCGCCCTGATACGCGCGGCTGTTGCACAACAGGGTGCCAAGGCGCGAGGACGGCTCCGCGCTGTCCAGCAACTCGCGCAAGCTCGTGACCAGCGACTTCAGCTCCTCGCCCGCCTGCTGCACGAACTGCTGCAAGCATCCGAGGAGCTGCTCCTTGCTCAGCGGGCCGTGGCGGGCAAGGACTAGCGCGGCGACGTCACGGGTGCGAGAAGTGAACCTTGCCGCTTGGGCTAGCCCGCTCGCCGGCGCCGCCGCCACAGCTGGCGCCGCCTGCTCCCCTGCGACCGCGCGCGCGTAAGCCTCGCCCTCGCCCTCGCCCTCGCCCTCCTCGTCCTCGCCCTCGTCCGAGTCGAGCGCCTCGCTGCCGGCGGCAGCCGACCCCTGGGCAGGAGCCTGGCCGACCGCCCTCGCGTACGCCACCGCCGCCTCCACCGCCGTGCCGAAGGTTCCTAGGCGGACAGTCTTTCCGTCCACCATGTGCTTTGCCTCGAAGCGGCGGGAGTTGGACTGCCGGAACACGCCCGTGTAGCCGGTGCTGTTGTTGCTGCGGCTGGAGACGTGCAAGCGCAAGCCCTCCGCCTCAGCCGCGAGCGGTGCCTGCCGCGGCGGCGCCGCAGGCACAGGCCCCACCTGGACTGCTGAGGCAGGCACAGACGCCTCGCCGGCAGCCACCGCCTGCGCCGTCGGCGCCACCACCGTGCCTACTGTTGCCGCTTGAGCTGGCCCGCTCGCCGGCGCCGCCGCCCCGGCTGGCGCCGCCGCCTCCGCAGCGACCGCCCGCGCGTACGCCACCGCCGCCTCCACCGCCGTGCCGAAGGTGCCGAGGTGGACGGTCTTTCTGTCCCGCCTGTCCTGCGCTTTGAAGCGCGAGCCCTCCTTGTACACGTTCTTGTAGCCGGTGCTGTTGCTGCTGGAGAGGTGCAGCTGCAAGCCCTCCGCCTCTGTCGCCAGCGGCGCCTCTGCCGTCCGGGCAAGCGCTTGGGGAGGCCGCGGAGGCGTAGCGGGCATCGCGACGTGGACCTTGCGGCTGGCGGGCAGGTCGGCAGGGACGGTGACGTCGAAGAAGGCGCCATCCACGACCTGCGGCGGTGGCAGGCAAGCGGAACGGTGAGTCATACCAGGCCTCCCCGCCACATCTGCTGCCTCGCACAGCGGTGGCGGTCCTTCTGGCCGGAGAGCACGCCCTCGGGGATCTCGAGCGTGGGGCGCGCAGCCGCTGGAGGCGAGGCCGCTGCCGCTGTCGTGCTCCATTCCGTCGTCGTCGCCGCCGCCGCCGCCGCCGCCGCCGCCGCCGCCGTGCTCCATTCCGCGACCGCCGTGCTCCATTCCGCCGCCGCCGCCGCCGGGTCCGCGACCGCCCGCGCCGCCTCAACAGCCGTGTCATAAGCCCGACGGAATGGAGCCCCCGTGGATGTCACGTAGGTGGTCTGCGGAGGGTACAGGGCGGTGCAATAAGGGGTCTGTCTGGTTCTGCGATGGCGCGCGTAGCGGAGAGCGGTGCTGAGAGCGGCGAGCAAGCTCACCGCTTGCTGGCAGGTGCGCGACTTGTGGCCGATGCCGCCGCAAACCGAGCAACGCTGCGGCTTGTTCTTGCGCGACGAATGCATCTGCGAGGCGGGGCCGCCCTCCGCCTCCTCCTGCACGGGCGACGCGTCGAAGGTCGCCTCGCCCTCGCCTTCGCCCTCGCCCTCGCCCGAGGCCGCCTCCCGCGCCGTCTCGACGTTGAGCAGAGCTGCCGCCGCCGCCGCCGCCGCTGCCCGCTGCTCCACCTCTACCGCCGCCGCCGCCGCCGCCGCCCGCCGCTCCACCTCTGCCGCCGCCGCCGCCGCCGCCGCCGCCGGGTCCGCCGGGTCCGCGACCGCCCGCGCCGCCTCCATCGCCGTGTCATAGAGGCCGACGTGGACCACCCTTCCGTGCTCGTAGCGAGTCGCCACGAATTTGCCAGAGGCGTGCCTGTGCACGCCCTCGTAGCCGGTGCTGCTGCTGCTGGAGAGGTGCAAGCGCACGCCCTCAAACACTGACGCCGCCGGTGGCTCGCCGACCGCCCTCGCGTAAGCCGCAGCCGCCTCCACCGCTGTGCCGAAGGAGCCAAGAAAGAGCCGCGGGCTCTGCGCGGCGAGAGGGCGAGAGGGCGAGAGGGCGAAGCGGCCAGAGGGCAGCTTGTAAACACTTTGATAGCCAGTGCCGCTGCTGCTAGAGAGGTGCAAGCGCAAGCCTTCCGCCTCCCTCTGCAAGGGCGGCGCTGCTGGCTCGGCTGCCTCCTCCTCCTCCTGCTCAGCCATTTCCCCCGCAGCAGCCATGCCGCCGCCAGCCGCCTCCCCGCCGCCGCCGCCGCCGCCTGAAGCCTCGACCCCATCACAGCAGAGGGCTGCCGCCGCCGCCTCGACCTCTGAAGCCGCCTCCGCCGCCCGCTGCTCCACCTCTACTGCTGCCGCTGCAGCCGTCGCCGCAGCCGTCTCGGCCTCCGCCTCCGCCTTTCGCGCCGCCTCCGCCTCCGCCTCCGCCGCCTCCGCCGCCTCCGCCTCCGCCGCCGCCGCCTCCGCCGCCGCCGCCGCTGCCTCCGCCTCCGCCGCCGCCTCCGCCGCCGCCTCCGCCTCCGCCTCCTCATCCATCCGAGCCGCCGCCGCCGCCGCCGCCGCCGCCGCCGCCGCCGCCGCCGCCTCAGCCATCCGCACCGCAGCCGCCGCCGACTCCCCCTCCGCCGCCTGCGCCGCTTTGGCCGCCGCCACCGCTGCCGCCGTCTCCTCTGGGACCGGCGGGCCAGCAACCTCTGAAGTTGTGCTGCCGACGGGCGGCGGAGGCTCCTCGCTCGACGCGGCCGCCGAGCTAGCCGGCGCCAGGGCCGCAGCCGCAACGACAGCGGAGAGCTGGTCGGCTTCGAGCTTGCACGTCTGCTTCGTCTCGTCCCAAACCATCACAAGTCCCTTCTTCGTCGCACCGCCGCGCTCCGGCTTCATCTCGTGCGCGGCGATGCAGCCGCCGCAGGTGCAAGGCATCGCGATGCGAAGAGTGTAGGGCTCCGGCGACGGCTCGAGGTTTCGGACCCGCAGCTTTTTGATCCAGGGCGTAGCCGGCTCCTCTTTGTCGAGCGCCCGCGAAAGCTTGCCGCTGTGGGCCAGAGACTGCCAGGAGACGGGGTCGGCCTGTGCCATTTTGCAATCACTACGGGTAGCAGCCTTGCGCGCACGCGCGCCAAATTTGTTTTTCTGTCTGCAACAACAGCCCGAGGGGTGAAATGTCTTTGTTGTCTCTGTAATGAAGGGCCCGCCGCTCCGCCTACGCCGGCGGTGACCCTCTCGGCAGAGCGACATCGCGAGCACCGGGCAGAGAAAGGACGCAGAAGCGGTTGGATGGAGAGGCAGCCGGCGCACGAGGAGAGGCAGCCGATGGAGCCGACGAGGTGAGTAGACACGAGTTTACCATTCTGCGGGGGGGGGGGGGGGGGCGCAAGCCCTCCCCACCACTGCTACTCTGTACTGGATGCAACTCAGCAGTGGTCGCAAGCGTCCCAAAGGGCAGGGAGGCAGCCTCCCGCGCTGTCAAACGCCCCCCCGGCCCAAAAAGAGGCATCACAATCATGCTCTGGCCAGCGTCTGGTGGGTCGGCATTGCGCAACACACGCCGCAATCAGCCTGAGAGCAGATGATGGGGTGGGCGCGGGTGGACGAGAGTGGAGCCGAGTTGGGTGGGAGAGGGAGCACGCACGTGCAGCGGTGCCGAGAGTGGGTTGAGATGGCACCGCCTGCGGCCGCCCGGGCGGCGACGGCTTGCGCAGGTATGTTGTTCATGTCCTTATCCGCCGCCGCTTGGCTGCAGCAGCCAATGACGCCGCCCGCCTTTGCGAGGGGGCGTCTGGACGTGCTTGGCGGTTGACGCCGGCCCGCCACTGCGCCTCGTTCGCGTCCACCTCCGTCGAGGTCGACGCGTCGAGATCGGAGCGCATCACCGAGACGCCAGAGCCCGCCTTCGCCGACATGATTCCCCGCCGGAGAGCTCGGTGAGTGGTGCCGTCGCCCGAAACGGAAATCCGGACACGGGAAAATATGTATATAAGTAGAGGAACGAGTCGAGAGGACAGGGAGGGACGTGTCCAGGGGGGGGGACAGGGGGGGGCAGCTCAGTGTCGGATTGCATCAATGGCGGATGGGCGGCCTCGGATCACGGTCACGTCGGCGAGGACAGCGACGGCGTCGTTGGTGGCGCGCAGGGGCGAGGGCGTCGACCGACGGGCGCGCCGCATCAGGGACCCCTCGCTGGCGAGCGGCTGGCGCGGGAGGTCTCGGAACGTCGGGTCGAACGACGGGTCGAGCTCCCCCCTCCGCCGGTCGAGGCCGCGGTCGAGACGGTGAGCGCGGCCGAGGTCCTCGCGGGCGTGGCGGAGTATGGCCCGAACTACTCGCTGCCGCAGCCCGCGGAGTCTAAGACGGCGCGGCGGAAGCGGCTGCGCCTGGACGCGGCGGCGAGGATCGCCGGGCACGCCGTCGTCGAGGCAGGCACCCACGTGGAGATCCTGGGCGAGCACAGGTGGTGGCCGGGCACCATCACGGGGCGAGAGGAGGGTTCGGACGGCCGGCTCGTGCACGCGGTCGAGTACGATGGCTACCCCGACCAGGATTTCCGGCTCAACCTAGAGGAAGTGTCGTGGAGGCGGGCGACGCTCGGCGCCGGCGGCGCGGCCCCCACCAGCGGCGAGGTCAGCGACGGCGAGGGCAGCGACGAGGCTGCGGACGCGCTGCCGGCCAGCGCGACCGACATCGGCGGCGCGGTCGCCACCGGCGACGAGGGGAGCGGCGTCGAGGGGGACGGCGGCGAGGCTGGGGACGCGCCGCTGACCTGCGAGCCCGCTCCGACACAGCCAAGGGAGCGGCACAGCGCGAGGGCTGGCGACGAGAGCCCGGCGGCAGCCGGGATGGCCAGCGGCGACGCCGGCGCCACATACGCAGCACCCGGCGGGTATGCTGGCCGGGAGGAGGCGGCCGGCGAGGCGAGCTCCGCCCCTGCGGCCCTCAACTGGCCGGGGCGGAGGAGGCCGCGGCGCAGCGCGGCCATGGAGCTGCTTCGCGCTGCTCGGCGAAACGAGGACGAGCAGCGCGAGGCGATGCTTCCCGACGACGTGCCGATGCTGCTGCCGCACGGCGCTAAGCACTCGAGGGCGCTGCGCGAGGTGCGCCGCCGTCTGCGCGAGTACTTGAGCGAGCTGGCGGAGAGGGGGCAGGTCGTCCCGATGATGCGGGTGGCTCGAGGCCTCCACCCGACCGTTCGGTGGACGATCGGGTTCGGCGAGTGGCTGGCGTTGACGCGAATTCGTGAGTCGAAGGCCAGCCGCTGGCTCGCTGCTGAGCAGGCTTCGGCGCGAGGGGAGGAGGCTGTTGTGCGCGCCGGCCGGGGGGCAGGCACCGTGCAGGTGATGCTCGACAACATGGCGAACCACGTCTGGCGCGAGGTGTGGCCGGCGATGCCGGCGGACGACAAGCACTACTGGTTTCGTGTGAATAAGCACGTGGTGGGTTTGTTCGACGGGGGCGGCGGCGGCATGCACCAGATGGCGGCGATGGTCGGGGAGGCGGAGGGGCGCGCAGCGCAGCTGGCCAGCGCGGCGTCGCTCGGGCGCGGGCGAGGAGGCGCAGCAGGCGGTGCGCGACAAGGCGAGAGCGGCAGGGAGCAAGCGCAAGATGGAGGAGCTACGCGCGGCGACGACACACCCGTGCACGAAGCAGCTCCTCTACCGGGTGGGCCAGGAGCAGCTGCAGGACGTGCTGCTGTCTGAGCCGTTCGAGGTGAACGTCGCCATCGTCTTGAACGCGTACATCTGCCTCGCGAGGCTGACTGCTTGCCGTCCGGGGATGGCGACGAACGATGCGGACGACCTCGCCGCCACGTCGAGCCACTGGCGCGTTCGATAGATTTGTTGATATGGCTTTTAGAGGCAGCATGATAGAGAGACGGCTCCCCCAAGCCGGAGAGGGGAGGGCGGGGGGAAGCTCACTGATGCGACCGCACTGGTTGGGTAGTAGTCTAAGTTCTGAGCCTCGAGGCTGGACGGGTCTAAGTGTGGCTAGCCACGCTGGAGTGCTTGCGCGGTCTAAGATCAGCGGGAGCCTCTTACATCGGCTAAGTCGGCCGTGGCACGGCCTGGGGCCAGGAGGCTCCCACCGTGATCAACGATACGGCGCAGCCCCCAAATTTTCTTCGCCTGCGGAGGGCGATGGATCCTCTTCATGCTTAGCAATCGCCGCCTCAGCATCCTCCTCTTCCGATTTTCGTTGCTGCTCCTTCATTCTTGAGCGACGTCTAGCCAAACAGTTCTCACATGACACGAAGCTCCTCAAGCTTAATCAAACGCGTGACGGTGAAGCCTGTGTGTGCTGGTCCTCTTTGAACGATCCGCGCGTGAGGTAGCATAGGGCCTTGTTGGCAGCAGCCAGCTTGTTGCGCTGCTTCGTTGCGATGAGCTGATTGGGATCGCAGAAGTGCATGCCAAGCACCGCCACGATCTTGAAGCAGAACACATCGCAACCGCATCGTCCGCACTGCCATCGGCATGCCGCGCCCGCCGCTTCGCCGCAGCCGCCTTAAGGCACGCATAGCGGCAGCACATGGTGGGGGGGGTACTTGAGCAGGCGTTGCGCGCCGCAAGTAGCGCACTGGCCCTGGGAGAAGGCGATATGGCGTCGTGCGCGGCATACGCGGCATACGTTGGTGGGACGCGTCCAGGTATTTCGGGTAAACCTGGAGGCTTTTCAGGTATACCCGGGTTTTGCCCGGAGTTGGCCTTATGTCGTCTAAGTTCATGGCCCCCGACCATACAGCGTCTAAGTCCGAGCCCGGCTCCGTGTGGGGGCTAAGTTGAGCGCTCGCTCGCTGCAGAGGCTAAGTGTAGAGCGACCCTCTAGCCCTACTACCCAACCATTGCGACCGCCTCACTGATGCCGCGTCTGCGTGCCAACAGGCATAAGGACAAAACTCACGAGACCTCGAAACTAACAAAAACTACGATACATGAGGTACCGAGGAGCAGAGGTGCTCTTCGGAATCAATTCTCTTAGTGGATAGAAGGATCTCAGTTCGTCCGTGTGGTGACTCCCGTATCTCTGTGCGCGACCTTGTACACGTGGCGCACGACGTGGGTGTCGCTGCGGCGGTGTGTCGGTGTACTCCCTACTGTACTGTCTGAGGTGTGGGCGCTGTAGGAGTTAGGTAGGTGCATCAAGCGCCAAGACAGGTTAGGTTAGGTTAAGGTAAGATGAAGAAAACCCGCGAATTGAATTTTATCTTCTTCTCTGCCGTCAGCGTTGAGTCCAGGCGAGTTGCGCTGGCCACTATCGCTACGCCAAGCCGAGCTGACGCGCCGAGGCGCCGGCCAGTCGCAGCCGTGAGGCATGCCACAGCAGGGCACGATAAGCAAGCCGACCTCGGCAGGAGCGGCGCGAGGGATTGCGGCGCGCCGGAGTGGCAAGACGAATCGATCCCAACGGACGCAGACGACGGGGAGAGCAGCACCGTGGGCGACGACATGCCTATCAACGGAGGAGGTACAACCATCCCACTCGACGACATCAGTGATGGGGCTTCTAGCTACGCTGATGACCCACCCGACTCCCCCGAAAACAAACCGCTGCCTAAAGCCCCAGTCGTGGAGCAGGGGGTGATATGGGTTACATACACGCCGAGCGCGCAGGCGGGCGCGACATATCGGAGACAATAGGGGGCTCCGGCGTGAAAGAGCTATCGAAATCGACCTTGACCCAGCCGATTCCACCGATGTCGACGTCATCACCTCCGCGGCTACCGCGCTTTCGCTCGACGACACCGTGGAGAATCGTACCGAGGACCTTGCCGAGGCGATGGGCCGGATCACGTTTTGGACCCCGACCCCGCCGTGGTGACGTGGCCCGACGCCGAGTACCTCAACTTATGCGGTCAGAGAGACGACCCGTGCGGCACCAAGACGAGTGTCACGCCGCCAGTAGCGTTCTCCGCACTCCCCACGCCACCAAATGCCGCCTCAGCGCCAGGTCAGCCACCTCTTACACGCGGCCGGCGCCCTCTCGCGGCAAAAGGGTCGAGCGAGCGGGGGCAGAGTCGCGATGTCTGCGCACCCGCGTGCCAATGGGCGGCACACGCAGCCGAGAGAGGTCCTGTCACGCCGCCAGTAGCGTTCTCCGCACTCCCCACGCCACCAACTGCCGCCTCAGGACGCCAGCCACCTCTTACACGCGGCCGGCGCCCTCTCGCGGCAAAAGGGTCGAGCGAGCGGGCAAAGTCGCGATGTCCCTGCGCACCCGGGTGTTCGCCGCCTATATAATGCTCTATCCTGTGCCAAGACGGACACGTTTTGACAATCAAAATCTACTCAAAATTTGCGGCCGCGCCTCGAAATTTGCTGATCAAAATTTGCGGTGGGGCCCGGATCGAAACCTGTATACTTTGGCCAACATGACACTCACAGTGCGCCGCGCCAGTCCCGTGCCCAGTGTCGTGCAAAAAAGAACTTGTGCGCCAAAAAGAATACGCATCGGAAACGCTACAAGCCCGGCGCCTGCACCTCCCTCAGCATCTGCAGCATAAAGTCGAGGTCCGCGACGGTGCGGTCGACGCTCTGCTTGGCCTCCGCGTACAGCCGCTCGAGCTGCGTCGTCCCTGCCACGAAGAGGAGGATATGGGGAGAGATGGGGAGAGATGGGGAGAGATGGGGAGTGCGTTGTCCCTGCCACGGCGAGGAGGGCGGCGCTGCGGCCGACTGAGACCCAGCTGTGCCACTATGCCACTGTGTGCAGTGCTCCCCCCGGCGTGTGAACCAGAGCCCAGCCCCCGCGTGAGTGGCCTGCCCTCCGTGGCCGGGGCTAGGGCGGTGTGTGGGCGGGCGGGCGGGCGGAGCAGCACTCTAAGGGGCTAACATCTGGTCATCTCGGGCAATATCGGGCCATCTCGGGCAATCTCGGGTCCTCTCGGGTCCTCTCGGGCCATCTCGGGTCCTCTCGGGCCATCTCGGGTGCGCTTGCGGGGCACCCTTGGAGGCGAAGACGACGCCGTAGAATGAGTCGTCCACCTGCCTTGCGGCACGCTCGCATCTCGGGCGATCTCGGTCACTCTCGGGTGCTCTCGGGTGCTCTCGGGTGCTCTCGGGTGCTCTAGAGTGCCATCTCTCTCTCTCTCTCTCTCTCGGGCCATCTCGGCGCGCGCCTTCTTCAGCGCGAACACCACCTCCTCGCCTACCCGAGATATGGGCAGATGTGAAGAGGTATCGGCGCGAGCAGACCACCTCCTCGCCTCGCCACGGCCCCAGTGCGACAGCTGAGTCCACGAGTTGAATGCGCAGACACTTCTCTGAGGTGTCCTGTCTACCGAGTCTCGTTGCACTGTCTTGTACTCGAGCGCGTCGGAGTGGTGCGCTGCGTCTCCTCGAGTGCGGGCCGAGGCCGGGTCCGTGTTGCCGCATCTCTGTGCCGTAGGTGCATGTGCATGTATGTGCATGTGCATGTGCATGTAGCATGTGCATGTGCATGTGCATGTGCCGCATCTAGGGCGGCCTCGCCCCGCTCCACGAACTCGGTCACGTCGAGCGCGCCTGCGTGGGTCATCAGCCATCAGTCGCCAGTCGTGAGTGCAGCAGTGGTGATGGGGTCACGTCGATGAGTGATCAATGGTGAGTCACTCATGATCTAACGGTGTCGGCTAGAGCTGCGGCGAGATCTCGACTTGATCTCGGCTAGAGCTCGCCGCCCCACGAATCGCCGTCTGCGCTGAGCGCGAACTTGCGCACTGCGGCGAAGGCTCCTGCACGGCCGCGCGGGTGGGTGTTGCCCGAGACAACCGACACAGCAAGCGCAAGTCACCCGACGCAGCGACACGAGGAGCCGCGGCAGTGAGCTGTGGCGAGCGAGGTGCGTCGATGCGAAGTGGCGTGGTGTGGCGTGTGGGATGCGAAGTGGCGTGGCGTGGCGTGTGGGCGGATGGCACCGTCGATGCGGTAGAGCGGCGTCTCTTTTGCGACAGCGATCGCGGCGTCGCCTTTTCACACAAGGAAGCTCGCTCGCTCAAGCTGCTCTCACGGCGCAGCTGCCGGCGGTTTCTGTGCCTCTCTGTGGTGCCACGCCGCCGAGGATCTTGCGCGCCGCGTCGATGTTGCACGCCCTGCCCTCCTTGTCTATGCATGCGTAGGTCGACCACTCGCGCTGCAGCCTCCGAAGCGCTGCGTCGGCGTCTCGGATCTGCTGAATCGCCTCGCCAACATCGTCTGAGCCTGGCGTGCGAGCGAGCGCAGCAGCCGGGACTCCTGCGCACGCAGAGCCGCCGAGCAGCACGGCGCGGCGACTGGTGGCCTGTGGCGTGCTTAAGCTCGTGACGACGAGGGTGAGAGTGAGCACATACATGGCCTAAAATTGTGATCGCGCCCCCGGGACCAGGGTTCCGGCTCCTGACCGGATAGGGGGGTCTCGACATACACAATTTCACAACGCACGACAGGTATAGGTAGGTAGAAAGGTGAAGAACAGCCAGTGGAGGGGCCCCTCCCAGATAGGTAGGTAGGTTGGTCTTGTTTCGCCCAAAAGGGCCCTGCAATAGGTAGGTACTTGGATCTTTTTTCGCTTCGTTCGCTGGGGGCGCGCGGGGTAGGTAGGTAGGGCGTTTTGGCGCGAGTCAGTGGCGACAGACCCCCTATCCGGCTAGGAGCCGGAACCCAGAGCTTTGAAAAGAGAATTCTTCGAGGTTCACCTCTAAAGCCCCGATACAAGATTTTTGCGTGCCCGCGCCGCGCCCTACGGAAACTCGAGAAGGCCCCCGCACGGGGGGTCCCGGGGGGCACCATGATCGTCCGCTAAGGGTCCGGGGTCGCCCAGGCAAGTGGCCCAAATCCAATGAGTTTTCCAGGTGTGAACAGCAGCTGAGAGGTGTGAATTCATCCCAGGCGGGGTGCGGGGCGGTAGCCCCGCAGAGAAAATTTTGCGTGCCGAGGCACTGAGATCGCAGTTTTATTAGTCCACGGCGGATCCAGCGGCAGCTGTTTCGAAGAAACGCGGTGCCGCATTTGAGCATGAATCAGCGTAATTCTGCTGGCATCACGCATAGGAGAAGCCGAGAGGCACAAGGTCCTCCAATTTGCCGGATCAGCAGCGCGGTATGGAGCGTGGTTGTGGCGTATGCATTTGCCCCCGGCAGTCTGAATGGACCAACGCCCGAGCTCATACTGCGCTCTGTGCAGCCCTTTCAAGCAGTGAACGGGATCGGCGAAGTATAGTTGCGCCACCACTATCGTTGTCGTTCCTGCCACGCACACCGGGTGGACGCGCGACAGGAGATGACGGCATGCTGGAGCGACACACAGTCTCAGTGAGACACACAAACTCACAAGGCTATCTAGATAACTTTCTAGATAGTCATCGTCGCCGTCCTTCATGCTCGGACACACGGACACTCTGGCCCGGGACTTCCCAGCTGTTTTCGCACCGTGCAGTGCTTGCTCGCCTCGAGCCTCGAGGGCTCTCGGTCCGTCCTCGGCGGCTCCGGCTGGCAGAGCCTGCACGCCGGTAGGCGCGACGTCAGGTTCGTCGAATCGTCCGACGAGGCGCACGATGGCAAACCGGTGTAGAGCGAAGTCGCCTCTATTTGTCACTCGCCATGCGCGTCCTTGGCTGACCCTCCAAAACTCCCTCCCCGCCGTTCGCGGCTCGGCTTGCGTATGCGGGTGGGAGCTTCGAGGACATGCAGGCGTCCCACCCCCTCCGGCCATCCCCCCGGCTCCCAAGCGCGCGGCCGCGACGCGCTGCGCACCCTCTTCCGCGCTGCACCCGCTCTTGGCACGGCCGTCGTCCGCCGAGATCACCTCCTCTTCGCGCCGCAGGTGCACAACCAAGGGCTGGCCACCTCCGTATCCATCATGATGAAGCCAATGGGCCAAAAAGGGAGAACGCTCCCCTCCCAGGTGGCCGGAGGGTACACCTCGGGTCGGCGTGCTGGGGGGGGGCGCCGGTGCGCAAGCCCACTTTCCGGGCGACCCCGAGGGGGAGGAGGCCGGGCGAGTGGCAGCAATTCACTGTTAGTGTCCCGGGCCGCTGCGGTACCGTTTATACGGCCCCTCGTGACGTCTTTCCGATTTTGCATTGTGAGTCGTCCTCTGGCCAGCCGAGGGGCACCAGAACGGCATGTGTACTGGTGCTGGGTGCGGGTGCGGAACGGGCTTTTTTTAACTCGCAACCAAGCATACTATACAAGGACACCCTCGGGGGGGACACTCGGCGCATGTGCGACGCGTCAGGGTGGAGTTGGCGGTGGCCGAGCGTCGTCTCCAGATCGACTCGCAGCGCGGAGTCGAGGGGTGAAGCGCGTCGCGCTGCGACACTCGAGAGCCGGCTGGATGGCCGTAGGGCGCAGCCGACTTTGATGTCCTCGAAGGTCCGGTGCGCATTCGTCCTCTGAGACCCACGCGTACAGGAAAGGGGCGAGAACGAGGCCTTTTTGAGGCGGACATTTTGGGGCGCGCATCCGCAAGCGCGTTCCACACAGTGCGCCGCGCCAACATCGTCACTTTAAATGCTTCTCATGCTGCCGTTGTGTATCCCTTTCCTCGCTGACACACATTGTGTACCGACACACACACAGTATGCCAGACGTAGACGGCTGCACCTGGACTGCACACAGACAACCTCTAGCAGCTCTCAAACTCGAGACTCCAGTCGGAAGACCTGCTCTGTTGTATCATGGGGAACGCGATGCGTCTGCGGCGGCGGCCCGCGCCACCACCCTTGGCAGCACAAAGCTGCGCCAGAGGTCCACCAGCCCCGGCGCCGCCCCCTCGCCGTTGAAGCGCTCCTCGTCCCACGCGATCAGGTAGCCCAGCCGCATCACCTCGACCGCCCGCTGCCGCGCCGCTGTCGGGAAGAGCTCGTGCGACTGCGGTGACCACTCCGCCGCCTTGAGGATCAGCCTGCCCACCTCCACCGCCTCGGCCGCTGGCTCAAGGTTGGCCGGCCTGGGGAAGGGCAGAGGCGTGGGGTGTGTCCAAAGAGAGGATCCGGCGAGTGGGGGAGAGGCCATAGCGCGCCTCAGTGCGAGGGCCTTGGCCTCGCCCGCCACGCGCACGCCGAAGCGTCCCGTCGAAGCGCTCGCGGAGACGACGACGCCGACCTTGCCGTTCATCGACGGCCGCGAGACGAGAGAGTGGATCGCGACGGTGGAGCCGGCGGCCGCAGCTGTCGGATCCGACTCGCCCCACGAGCAGAAGACGCGCGCCCGCTCGAGGGCCGACGGCTCGCCGGCCGAAGAGTCCGCGCCGCCGCGCAGCAGCGCCCGCGCCCGGTCGACGGTGAGCGCCTGCGGGAAGAGGGACAGTGAGCGTGAGGACAATGCACTCACGTTTTCGGCCGCTAGTCTCGGGCACGCCTCGAGGTGCTGGAGCGGCGTCCAGCCGCGGCTGGCGACCAGCCAGGCGGCGAGGTCGGACTGCGATGCACGCGCCGGACCGTCGCGCCGGGCGTGGCGTGAGCGTCGAATCCATCGGCGGGCACGGGCACGCCGCTCGAGTTGAGCTCGAGCCACCAGCGGCCGTGCTCGCTGGCGGCCATCTCCATGCCCCTCACGACGTGATTGAAGAGCGACTGGTCGTTGACGTTCTCGTTCAGGTCCTTGCGCCCCTTCTGGCGCAGCATCGCCCTCCTCCACTCCTGGATGACCGCGAGCGAGCCCGGCGTGCAGCGGAAGTAGACGACGCCCGTGTTGAGCTCGATGTGGAAGCCGCCCGTCATGCGGCCGTGCACATCTCGCTCCGCCGAGAGCTCATCCGTCGTGACGAGCACGTCGGCGGCGGCGATGAGCGACGCCTCCGGCAGCGGCGAGAAGTCTCGCCACGTCATCCAGCGCCGCCAGTGGCCGTTGAGCCAGACAACGTCGAGGTCCGAGATCAGGACGTCGAAGCCCACCGTCAAAAGCTCGTGCAGGAAGGCCACCTTGACCAGACCCATCTCCAGGAAGTCGGAGTTATGGTGGCGGAAGTACTTCCACTCGGAACGCTTCTCGTACAGCTCGCTGCCCCTCGGGATGCGCCGGTACGTCCATACGTCAAGCTCCGGCACGATGCTCCCCGCCGCAAGAGACGTCTTCGCGTACGAGTTGAACGCAAGGGCCGTGCCGTCAGGCCCCAGCCACCGCGGTATCTCGGACGCTCGCCCCTCAGCGACGGGAGGCGGCGGTGGCAGCGTCTGGGAGGCGAGCGTGTTCGACTGGGGCTGCTCCCGCGTGTCCACGCTCGCAGGGACTGTGGCGACGGGATCTGCGGATGGCTGGGACGCCTCGGTGGTCTGCGGCGGCTGAGGACGGCGCTCTGCGGCTCCGTACTGGACGACGACGTGCTGGTTTGCAAGGCGGCCGCTCACGGACGCCCATGCCGAGAAGCCAGAATCAAAGCTCGCGGTCAGGCTGCGATAAAGCACCGTCAAGATCAGCAGCGCCGCCGTGGCGCCAGAGCGTTCGCGTCGTCGGCATGGTCCTCCTTCCGGAGTTAATTTACTACACTCCGGACGGAGTACATTGTACAACAAGACGCAACCCGACCGACGAGTACACTTATATAAGCACCTGTAACTCCTGAGGGGTCGTGTGGTTGCCGTGCTCAGCTCTTCATTCACGCAAGCGCTGGGCGCGCGACACACCAAGTCCGGACATTACCTAACTCAGCAACACATCGCGGTGGGCGGGAGGGAAAGCATCACACACAGAGAGGGCATCAGAGTTGCGATCATGGAGGATCGCACCGACTCAACTCCGTGGTCACGCGCAAGAGTCTGTGACCTCCCACTTACATAACTCACAGCTCCTCTGGTTGGGCCTGCTCGTAACCCACTAACCCTTAGAGTCACAACCAAGTACCACAAGACGCAACCCGACCGACAGGCACACGACACGACACCGACCGCGAAACCACCAACACGCACCACCAGAGCAACCCACCAGACGACCACCAGACAGCACCCAGACACACCAACCAACAAACACCAACCAAACCAGACAAGGGCTGGAGGGGTCCCAAACGGATCGGCGTCGAGAGGAGGAGTTGGAGGTGCAGCCATGGGTGCTCCGGCAACCTAACCTGATCCAGAAGCTCGCCGACGTTGTCACTCAACGTGCGTCATGCGTGCTCGAGCTTGAGGGAGGAGCTCAGCTAACGCTTCGGCCAGCCCCCCAGCGCCGCCGCCCACCGCCACCCACAAAGCACCTGCTCTACTATCCCGTACCTGGCTGGCTGACGCTCACCCCCCCCGCTCCACTTTCCCCTGATCATGCCCGTGATAGCACCATCACTGTCGCCGTCCTGGTTTTGAACGTGGCAGCTAGACTCTAGGAACTCGGTAGAGTTGTGACCCCTCGTGAGTGAGGAGCAGGAGAGAGAGCTTTGTGGTGTTGGTGTGGTTGTCTATCTATCTCCTCTTCTAGCTCTTAGCATGAGCTGCGCCCTGTGTCCGACCCCTTTTGCGCAGCAACACCTTAAACTTTTAGGCCCTCCAAATTCGGGTCGGAGCGTAGCGGAGTGGGCCCCGAGTTTGAAAAGGGCGACGGACGCTTGCGTCCTAGCCTCCAACAACGCCTCCCCGGCGCAGAGGGGCCCCCGGAGGGATGCTCAACCGCTCCACGCCACGCCGCTTGCGGCGGTCCTATTCCCAGCTCCGCTGAGGGCCCGTGCGTTATTCTTGGCGACAAGTTTCGACATTGGTCAGGTTAAATGCGCCCTGGCGCTCTGGCAGCAGATCTATACACAACATTGAATTTAGAGCAGCAGATGACACAGGCTGCCCCTGCACCAGTTGATCATTGCGACAAGAAGGAGGTCTCCCCACTATGGCAGCACCTCTCGAAGGGCATGTGTTTTGTACCATATCTGGCCTGCGTGGTGACGACACCCGTGCTGCTACAGCGCAGCGAAAGCCCTAACGCGCTAAGATTCACAGATAGAGGGGCTGTTGTTTCTCTTGTGCTTTCCGCAGCCTCCTTGTGTCAGCTTGTGGTTACCATGGTCGCATTGGCTAGCATCCTCTGTTGGCATGCGTGGGAAGCAAAGGCGACCTGCAAACGCACCGTGCTCCCACTATTGCCAAAGCGCTCAGAGGTCGTGCGATTCATTTTAACCAAATTTTTGGGCGTCTGTGCGGACTACCTTCGCTTGTTTGCTATTGTTCACATTGGTGCAGTGACTGTTGAAGTTCTTGCACAAGTTCAGATACTGGTGCAGGCCTGTGTTGAAGTGCTGTTCAGGGGCCAACGGTATTCCAGTCAAAATGTATCTAGTTTCATTAATCTCTTGGCAATCTGTGCTGCATACATGTTGGCAAAGTCTGCAAAGCACAGTGAATTTGATACTACCGCAATATCTATTGTCTCAATGTTCCTGGTTCTAAGATGCACAAGTGCATCCCTGACTAAGATTATCTTTTCTGGGTCAGACGGTCACTGGATGATTCTAAGTATGGCAGGTGCGACTTTCAAGTTTTTGTATGCTGGTAGCGCTTTGCTCCTGTGGCTCCACTTCTCTGGATCTCCGCAAACTGATCTGCTGAGATCGATGGACAGATGGATAGTTGCAGCAATTCCCATGATGGGCATTCGAATGCTTATGGCTGAGATGGTCGTGAAGGTGCTGAGCCCGGTAGCGAAGACACTCGCAAAAAGTGTTGCTATCCCAATTATGGCTTTGATAGCATGGGCTCTTTCGGCCGATGAGCCACAGGCATTGCAGATGTTTCAGCTGATCGCGTTGATGTGTGCAGTATTCTCCTGCGGGACGTTGCCCAGGCCAGTGCCAGAGAAGCCGGTCAGCGCGGCCACCTATGCGCAATTGCAGTAGAGGAGTAGAAGAAACATATTTGCAATGCATCCACTCCCTCCTAAAGCTGGGAATCCATCAGATTTTTGAATATTACCCAGACATGTTTTGATACGCTGAGTCTAAATCCGAGGCCGAAACATTGAATTCCAGCAAGAAAGTAACACGCGATACAACGAATCAAAAAATCGAAAACGTCAACAACAAATCAAGGCAATCCCAATGATTCCCCAGGTCATTTGAGGTCGCGGAACCCACTGGCATGCCCAAAACAGACCACTGGGTCCGGTTCAACCTCACTGTCACTCTCATCTTATGACTTATATGTCTATATTACAGACACAAAACGTCAGATCTGTGCCACCCTGGGCTGGACCTAGTCCAAGGCGAGGGGCGAGAAAAGAGAACTCGCAGAAAGAACCCGCTCTTCCGAGGCTTCACCTCTCAAAGACAAACAAGAAGGTAGAAGCACACCAACCCGCCCCTTTTCCACCAACGGAGCCCCCCCCCCCAGATTGTTTGATTGATCTACCCCCTCCCCGGCCCGAAGCCGATCGAGTACGCCACTCCTGCGGCCGCGCCCGCGTGCCACATGCCGACCGCGAGCCGACAGCCCGACGGGTGGAGGGCGAGGGTCGCCTCCGCGGCCACCTCCATCGCCTGCGCGCGCTCGTTCCACGCGAGCGCCTCCCCTCCAGCGACGCCGCGCACGAGGTCGGGGTGGTCGACGGGCACGACGCACGAGTCGCCTGTGCACGGCGACTCGGCGTGAAGTAGACGCCGTTCATATAGGTGCGGGCGGCACGGGGCACGCGTCGCCTCGGTCGAGGTGCACCAAGTACACTCCTCCCCCCTCTCCGTGCGAGACGTGGTGGTCGGCGACGGTGCCGTGGAGCCAGAGCGACGCGCCCATGCGGCACGCCACCTGCGAGGCGGCGCACAAGAGAGGGCTCTTGATTCGGGCACCGAATGCTCAGACCGGCAGTCGACACGCGGCCGACGGGGCGGACAAGGCTCGTGGGGCCGGGGAGAGGGAAAGGGGGCGAGCGGGCAAGCTGCGAGCGGGCGGGAGCTGGAGAGGGAAAGGGGGCGAGCGGGCAAGCTGCGAGCGGGCGGGAGCTGGAGAGGGAAAGGGGGCGAGCGGGCAAGCTGCGAGCGGGCGGGAGCTGGAGAGGGAAAGGGGGCGAGCGGGCAAGCTGCGAGCGGGCGGGAGCTGGAGAGGGAAAGGGGGCGAGCGGGCAAGCTGCGAGCGGGCGGGAGCTGGAGAGGGAAAGGGGGCGAGCGGGCAAGCTGCGAGCGGGCGGGAGCTGGAGAGGGAAAGGGGGCGAGCGGGCAAGCTGCGAGCGGGCGGGAGCTGGAGAGGGAAAGGGGGCGAGCGGGCGGGCAAGCTGCGAGCGGGCGGGAGCTGTGGCGCGGCACCTGCGCGCCAATCGGGAAGCGAAGCGGCCGCACGGCTGCCGGTGGAGGCGCGGGGGGCAGAGGGTGGAGGAGCACCGCCTGTGGGGAGATGTCGCGGACACTATCGCGGACGTGTCGCGGAAGTGTCGCGGACGTGTCGCTGACGTGTATCGCGGACGCTGTCGCGGAAGTGTCGCGGACGTGTCGCGGAAGTGTCGCGGACGTGTCGCGGACGTGTCGCGGACGTGTCGCGGACGTGTCGCGGACGCTGTCGCGGACGTGTCGCGGACGTGTCGCGGGCGGGAGGGGTCGACATCCAGCGGCGCCTGCAGGCACACGCCGGTCCGCCAGTCCCAGACCAGCACGGCGGGCGGCGGGAGCCCTTTGCGCGGCAGCGAGCACGCCGCGACCACGCCGCTCGCCGCGCCATAGTCGATGGCGCCGACGCCGCCGTAGCGAAAGGCGGCGGCGACGCTGCCGTGGCGGCCGCGCGGGGCGGGTCCGAAGAGGGACCTGCCCGCCGCGACGCCGCTCCTCGCGCGCAACAGCACCACGTCGAGTGCGATGGGGCGAGTCGCCTGCTGTGTGCCTTGTCTGTGTGTGTGTCTGTCTGTCTGTGTGCCTCTCCGTGCGTGCACCGCCCTCCCCCGCCCCTGCGTCCACCCACCCCGCGCCGGCGTCCTCCTGTCCAAGCTGCGTCTCTCGCCCTCCCTCTCGATAGATGCTGCCGTGTGTGTGTGCGAAGCTCGCCGGGTCGGCGTGGCGGCTTAATCTCGGGTCATCTCGGGTAATCTTGGGTAATCTCGGGAAATCTCGGTAAATCTCGGGTAATCTCGGGTAATCTCGCCGGGTCGGCGTGGCGGCTGCTGAACGGGTCTGCGGCCGGGAGAGGCGCGGCTCCCCGAGCAAGACTGCTGACCTGCAGGGGAAGGCTGCCGAGAAGGTTCGGGGAAGGGTCGAGGCGGCGGGACCGCGGAGGCGGAGGAGGAGGAGGAGGAGGAGGCGGAGGCGGAGGAGGAGGCGGAGGAGGAGGAGGAGGAGGAGGAGGAGGAGGAGGAGGAGGAGGAGGAGGAGGAGGAGGAGGAGGCGTGCTCACCGCACTCCAGGCGCTCTCCTCCCACAGCAGCAGGCACCCCCCCCCGCACGGCTTCTCGAGAGGCGACCGCAGGCGCGCGATCTTGTGCGAGCTCGGCCAGCGGCGCGCAAACACGACTCCCCCCGAGACGGCTGGCGCAGCAGCGCCGCCGCCCCGCCCGCCTCTCGGCCCCCCGTCTTGCGGGGCGACGTGGTCCGGCAGCGCCAGGGCCGCGGCGACCTTGGCGCCGCTCTGCGTGCTCGCGTGGAAGAGGAAGTGCCTAATTAATTGACGTTACTTAGTTAATTAATTAATTGAGCTCTGCGTGCTCGCTGTGGAAGAGGAAGTGCCCGTCGGCGGCGCTGACCGCACAGCGAACCGGCTCGTCTCTGATGAGCTGCTTGCTGTCCAGCCGGCCGAGCGTGACGCCTGCCGGTGGAAGAGACAGCTGCTGCTCGAGCGCGTCGCGCAGCGGCGTCACGTCGACGGCCGCGACGCCGCCGCTCTCGAGGTCGAGAACCTACAGCCCGAGATGGTGTCGAGATCACCCGAGATGGCCCGAGATGGCCCGAGCTCCGCGCTCTCGCAAGTCGAGGACGTCGGCCGTGATCGCCTCGTCCTCCCACCAGCTCCGGTGCGCCTGCTCACGGCCTGAAGTGTGAGGGAGGCGCCCCGCAGCCGCCCGACCCGCCCGACACGCAGAGCCCGCAGCAGGAAGACGCAGCGGCCGCAGTGCAGCACATTCTGCCAGCTCCCGACGGCGACCCGCTTTGTGGAGGCAGCAGCGGCGCCGTGCCGGCTCGTCGTCGGGAGGAAGGCCATCCCCTCCTCCTCCGCCCCGCGCCGGTACCCGACCATCCCCCCCACCCCGGCGTTGAACGGGCCGTCTTCCCCCAGCTCGCACCTGCACGTCCGGCTCTCGTGTAATCTCGGGTGATCTCGGGTGATCTCGGGTGATCTCGGGTGATCTCGCGGGTGATCTCGCGGGTGATCTCGGGTGATCTCTCGGGTGATCTCGCACCTGCAAGCCTCGACCGGCTCGGGCGGGCCTTCGCCGTCGACAGGGCGCCGCTCGGCGAAGCGCAGCGTGCGCACTGCGTCCGCTGCCGGATCGACCAGCTGCACGACGAGGTCTCCGTCGCGAAGAAAGGCGATGCAGGCGCCGGCGCGAGCGACGTGGCTCTCGGCCCGAGCAGGTGCGGCCGGGATGGGGAGTCGCAGCGGGAAACAGCGCGGGTCGGCGCGCCAACGGAGCTGGGAATCAAAGGCGACCAACGCAGCGGCGCGCCAGCGTCGGTTCACGCGTGCGACGCACGGAAGGCTGTGCAGCGTCAGATGGCCGATGCAGGCAGCGATGAGCTCGTCTGCGAGAAGCTCGGATGGCGCGGGAGTGTCGTCGTCCATCGCGTCGCCCGCATCGGCGTCTTCCATGTCCTCTTTTGCTGCGGAGAGGGGAGGGCCGTGATGACGCCCGGTCCACTATCCGGCGTTTTCTTCTTTTTTTGCGAAAGGACATAAAATTCTTTTTCATTGACTCTCTCACACCAGCGCCTTCCTCGGACGCCATGGTGGCCTCGCCCTCCTCCTCCGCCGGGCGACTCGGCCCGATCCTCCGCCTCCGCGGCGGCGGCGGCGACGGCGGCGTCTACCCGCTCACGCACACAGAGATGCAGTGGATGCAGTCGGCAAACATGGGCGTGGGGACGGGCATCGGCGCGGTGGCGCGCGACCACCGCCACTGGGCCGACCGCGCGAGCGAGGACGCGCTGCGCCTCGACCGCGCCACGCTCTGCGCCGCCTCGTCCAAGCCGCTCGCGCCGCCCGTCGTCGTGACGGAGCTCGGGCTGCTGTGCAACAAGGAGGAGCTGCTCGAGCGGCTGCTCTCCAAGTCGATGCCGCAGCACCTGGCGCACGTCCAGTCGCTGCGCGACTTTGCCGAGGCGCAGCCGCCGCCCCAGCTACCCTCGCGCACCCCCTACCGACTCCCTTCCTCCCCCGCCACTCTCCCCGCTCTCGCGTGACTGCGCCCGCGCTCTCGCCCCGCCGGCCCTCTGGCCCCTCCGGTGCCCTCGCCCACCGACCCCCCGACCCACCGACCCCGCCCCCCGCCCCCCCCCCCGCCCCCCGCCCCTCGCCCCCCTCACGCCTCTCCTCCGCCCCCCCCTCCCCCTCCCAGGCCACCCTGCACCCGAACCCGCACTACGCCGCCGACAAAGCCGCTAAGGGCGGAGAGGCGGCCGAGGACCGCTTGGGTGCCGCCCCAATGGTGAGTGAACGAGACCTAACACTGGTAATGAGTTAGGCGGCGGAGGACCGCGAGGTGCCCTTCGTCTGCCCCATCGCCGGAACGCCGATGAACGGCCGCTCGCCCTTCGTCTTCTTGCGCCCCTCCGGCCGCGTCGTCTCCGAGAGAGCGCTCAAGGGGGTCGGCGCGACCGCGTGTCCCGTGACGGACGTCCCTCTGGGCGAGATCCAGCCGAGATTCAGCCGAGATCCCGCCGAGATCCCGCCGAGATCCCGCCGAGGGACTCCATCTCGCCTAGCTCTCCCATACTCCTCCCCTGCACCCCCCCTGCACCTCCCCCCCCCCCCCCCCTTTTGCAACCTCCGTATTGGTGCACCAATAGGCGAGGGAGACACCGTACACCTCAACCCAAACGCGGAGCAGCGCGAGGCGCACACACCACTAGCCCCTCCGCCGCCCCCGCACCCCACTAGCCCCTCCGCCGCCCCCGCCGCCGCCGCCTGCCCCCGCCGCGCCGCCGCCGCCCGCCCCCTCCGCCGCCCTCCCCAGCAGCGGCGACGAGCGGGCGGCGTCCCCCTCGACCCTTCCCGGAGCCCCCCGTCCCCCCCAGGCGCTCGAGCAGAGGCACGAGGAGCGGCGCGCAGCAGCCAAGGCGGCAAAGGCTGCCAAGGGCGGCAAGAAGGCGCAAAAGGCCGCCGCCGCCGCAGCAGCAGCAGCAGCAGCAGCCGGCGCTAGCGGCAGCGGCGGAGGGGGCGACGCGGGCGATGCCGCAGCGGCTGGCGCCGTACAACCCAAGCTGGCGGCGGGCGCGGCGGCGGGCGCGGCCAAGGCGCGGACGAGTCAAGCCGCGGCGGGCGCTGCGGCGGGCGGCGGCGCTAAGCGGGAGCGGGAGTGGGAGGCCTCGATTCGCGAAAAGGCGTCGCGCGCGGCCTCGCTGCGGCGAGCCCGTGCTCTCTCGTCCCACCTGTCTGTTTTGTGTAGGCGTCGAGCTCGTCCGTGTACAAGTCGCTCTTCCTGACGGCGGAGGAGAAGCGCAAGCAGGAGGAGGAGATGAACGCGAACCCGTGCGCGCGGGGGACTGGCTTCTCCGTCCTGCGGCCCGCCAAGTTCAACGCGTGAGGAGTGCGATTTCGCCGGATCGCGGATGCGATCCTGCACGTCGTGTTCGGTGTGAGTTGGAGAGGCGTCTGCCGTGTTGTGGCTGGGAGGGGGGCATGACGCATGTGGGAGAGATGTGTTTGTCCCGCGAAAGCATCTCCGCGAGGAGCGCCCAGGACCCGGGCACTTGGAGCACTTGGAGTCCGTAAAAAGAAAAAAGAAAACAGACACTAAGGAGAGATGGGAGGACGGAACGCCGCCACCAAGCCGCAGTTTTTCCCCTTGCATCACCATCACTAGTGTGTCAAAAAAAACGCCGAAAGAGGCGGCCCTGTGCAAAAGGAGACCGCCGTCACGCAAGCTGCAAGCTGCTTGCGCCGGCCCCCAGCGGCTTGCAAGGTTGATCGCCGTCACGCAAGCCACGCTCGCACATAACGAGAATGGCCGACGTCTCCGCGAACACCGGACGCGAGGGCTGTCAGTGCCTGATTCAGATCCTCTCTGCGCCGCAGATCGCAGTCATCTATGACAAGAAGTACGAGTACGAGGCGTCTTACGGATGGCAAGGCTGCAAGTCATACGATGTGGATCGGCCTCCTTTTTGCGAGCCGCACAGCAAATTGAAACTCAATGACGATCCCGACTTTTGCACTTCAGAGTGGTGCTACGTCAACAAAAGTGCGTGCACGACGGCGGCGTATAAGCCGTCAGCCTTCTTTGACGACGGCGTTTTCTACTCTTACGAGACCTGCAATTCCACGGACACATTCACGAAATGTTACGAGAATGGGTCCTGCAAGGAGCTCGTCCATTCCATCTATGCCGGGGCGATATGTGAGCCCGGGAGAGGCCAGCGCTGTGGAAGCAACAGTCTGACATGATTCGGCCCGCTCCCATCATCATCATCAGGCGCCTTTGTCATGATTGTCCTCGTCGTTGTGTACACCGTCGTCGCCCTCAACGCCCTGCGAAAGCGGGAGCGCGTGCCTCGCCCCTGGGACCTGATTGTCTTGGCATGCCGCGGCGCGCTCATGGCCTGGGACCGCGCAAAGGAAGGTGAGACGCTCGCCACAGGCCGGCGCAGCGGGCACAACGTCGCAGCCTCAGCCCCCCCCCCCCCCCCCCCTTTCCCGGACGGTAGGCGCACACATCGTCCTGAGCTCCTCCTCCGCGGCCCGCCGCTCGATAAACGGGGCACCAACTGTCATTAACTATGATGCAGCATCGTCGACGCATGAGGAGGATGAGGAGGAGGAGGATTGCGGCTAGGCCCGCTCGAGCGCCGACGGCCTCCCCCGCTCGCCGTCCGGCCTCTCCCGGGCCTGGTCAGCGGGAGAGGGGCGGCTCACAAAGAAGGCGCGCCCCTCTCTGTTTCCCAAGAGACACCCCCCCCCCCCACCCCCCTCTCCTGTGTCCGGACACGGAATTCCTGCACTTACTTCCTGCACTGACTGTTCATGCACCTACCCCCTTCACTTACTTCCTGCCCTTCTTAGGCTCGACGCCACGGAGTGATGAGCGTGCCCGGTCTGCCTCCCGGCAAAGGAGCGCGCCGCTCACGAACGATTCACTTTCCACTCACCACCAACCGACACTCTCCACTAGGCCTTCCGCCGGGCAAGGAGGCCCCGCTGCCAGAGAAGAGCGAGAGGTGCAGACCGCGCCCCGCGCTCTCCACGCCGCCGCCTCCCTTCTCCCCCATCCAGCCGCGCCCCCACCGCCCCTATTGCCCCCTTCTCCCGCCGCAGGGGCTTGAGGGGCGATGCCCTCCGCTGGCACCGCCTCGCCTGGGTCGCAGTCAGTGCACCGGCTCTTCCTTCTCAACCGCGAGTGTCCGACGCTCCGCTTGTATAGGAGCGGGCTCTGCACGCCTTCTGTCGTCACCACCTCACCGCCTCACCGTCATCACCGTCGTTGGCCTCACATTTAACTAGGTACGCGCTCGCAGGGATGCAGCGGACGGGCAGCGAGGCCGACCCGACCTTCGCCCCTCCGCCGCATATGGGCAGCACGGAGGCGCCACGCCGCCCCGCGAGCCCGCGAGCCAACAGCCGAGCTGCACTCTCTCCTTACTCCCTCCCTTGCCGCTCACGACTACTTTTAGGCGCTCCACCGCCCGAGCCAGGAGTCGAACTTCACCGCTCCAGCGGCGCTCAAGCATCTGGAGCAGCGGCGCTCGACGACGGTCGGTGGGGGGCCGAGCGAGTCGACGGCGTCTGGAGTCGAGAAGAGCGGCTCGCGCCGCTAGATGAGGAACATCTCCCCACATCTCCCCACATCTCCCCACATCTCGCGCTGCCAGATGCGGGAGACAGATCCGATCAGCGCACTCCACAGAGGACCACGGGTATTCGGCGCTGACTTCCGCTGTGTGATGCGACCGCTCTCACTATGCAGTACACGCGGGGTGAGTGTGTGCAATGTAGGCTCGTGCTGCTCGAGCTACTCGCGCTCTAGCTCATCTGGTCGGCAGGCCGCAGAGGCACCTCTCCCGATGGCGACGAACCGGCCGGAGCCGATTGAGGAGCGGGCGGTGCGGGCAGTCGTCGCCTTGCCGTCGACGATCGTGCGGGCTAGCGTGCAGGTGGTCGCAGACTATACGCCGGTGCCTCTCCCGCGGAGAATCGTCCCGCGGAGGTCAGTGCAGGACGGGACGTCGCCACCGGATCCGCATAGCCCGTAGGTTTGCACAGCCTTGGTTACCGACCGTACCCGGGAGGCGGGTTTTCGCTGCGCGGGCTATTTTTCTTTTTCTCGCGATGTCCACCCCGCCGCGCCGCTCGCGCCGCTCGCGCCGCCTCGCCTCCGCCACCACCGCCGCGCCCTCGCCGAGCACGCCGCCGCCCGCCCGCCTCCTCGACCTCCCCAGAGAGCTCCTCGTGCGCGCCCTCTCTCGCTGCGACCCCGCCGACATCGCTCGCGTCGCGGCCGTCTCGCTCCTTTTCCACGCCTCGCTTGCGGTGGAGGCCATCCGCTTGTGGGCGCAAGAGCGCGGCTTGGAGCTGCCGGCGCAGCCAGAGGGCGAGAGCTGTGCCGTGCGGTGGCTGTGCTTCGCTGCGCTGCTGCGCGAGGCCAACCCGCCGGCAAGGGCGGCCGCAGGCCGTCAGCACAGCGTCTTCATCGACGGCGAGGGGCGGCTCTCGTCGTGCGGCTCGGCGCATGATGACATCCCAGGCCTCCTCGGCCACGGCGAGGGCGTGACGCGGCTCAACACGCCGACCCGCGTCCCGTCGACGCTGGGCGGCGAGCGTGCCGTGAGCGTGTCGGCGGGACTTGCGCACATCCTCGCCCTCGCTGCTGACAGCAGCATCTGGAGCTGGGGTGGGGGAGCCTTTGCCTTTTTTGGCCAGCTGGGACACGGCGATACGCAGAACCAGTGGCTGCCCAAGAAGATCGAGGCCTTTGCTGGCCAGCGCGTCGTCGCCGTGTCGGCAGGGCCTTTCCACAGCTTCGCCGTCACCGCCGACGGCGCCGTCTGGAGCTGGGGCGATGGACCCCATGGCCTGTTGGGCCACGGCCACGAAGAGCCATTGCTGCCGAAGAAGGTCGAGGCTTTGGCAGGGCAGCGCGTCGTCGCTGTGGCGGCTGCAGGCGACCACAGCCTCGCCCTCGCCGCCGACGGCGCTGTCTGGAGCTGGGGCGGCGGAGCCTATGGCCGGCTGGGCCACGGCGTTCAGCAGAACCAGCTGCTGCCGAAGAAGATCGAGGCCTTTGCAGGCCAGCGCGTCGTTGCTGTGGCGGCTGGAGACGCGCACAGCCTCGCCATCACCGCCGACGGCGCTGTCTGGAGCTGGGGCTGTGGAGACCACGGCCGGTTGGGCCACGGCGACAGGCAGCGCCAGCTGCTGCCGAAGAAGGTCGAGGCTTTGGCAGGGCAGCGCGTCGTCGCTGTGTCGGCGGGATTCGAGCACAGCTTCGCCCTCACCGCTGACGGCGCCGCTTGGAGCTGGGGCGATAGAGATTGCCGTCGGCGGTGGGACGGCGCCGCTTGGAGCTGGAGCGATGGAGACTACGGCCGGTTGGGCCACGGCGACGAGCAGGGCCAGCTGCTGCCGAAGAAGATCGAGGCCTTTGCGGGCCAGCGTGTCGTCGCTGTGTCGGCAGGGGAAGAACACAGCCTCGCCATCACCGCCGACGGCGCCGTCTTTACCTGGGGCGAGGGCGGCCACGGCTGTCTAGGCCACGGAGAGGACCTGTCCGACCAGCTGCTGCCCAAGAAGGTCGAGACGTGGGCCTGACCCACCGTCCTCTCGTCGTGGTTGTGGGGCGCGCGGCGCGCGGCAGTAGTTGTCCTAGGATCCCGTGCGCGAGAGGTTTGGAGCGCGTCTGGAGTCGGCGTTCGCCCTCCTGGCACCTGGGACCCAGTGTGCCGTCCGACTGTCGTCGCTGTCTGTTCTCGACTGTCGTGTGCGCGTTCTTGGGCCCGGGGTTTTGTGTGTGTGAGAGAGGGGAAGGGAGCGTAGGGAGAGATCGAGGACAACAAAAACCTATTCACACAACGCACAGAAGGAATCGCCAAAGCTGCTCGAGCTGATTCGCGCAGGCTTCGAGCTCAAGCCGGAGCTGCAGCGGCTGCAGCCTGCAGGAGCGCCTCCGCTGCGACTTCGACATCGCCGCGCTGCGCGCCGGACCTCTCCGCGGAGGACCGCTGCTGGCAAATCATGACGGACCACCTCGACAAGCTGGAGCATCAAACCCCCACAGATCACAACAAACAACAACAAAAACCTATTCACACCTGCGCCGGGAAGAGTCGGGTAAAGCTCCCAAAGCACAGCGAAGGAATCGCTCGCCTGTTCTTCGTGCCCACATGCCGCTGCTGTCGGCTACCGTCGCTCTTCTGTCTTTCGCCGGCCCGTCCGCCTCGCTGCGGCTCAGCCCCGCCGCGCCGCGCATGTCCGCCGTCGACGCGCCGCCGCAGCAGGCCGCGTCGCCGGCGCCCGACGCCATCAGTAGCAGTGCTCCGCTGCACGTGCTGATTGCTGGCGGCGGCGTGGGCGGGCTGGCGCTCGCCAACTGCCTGGAGCTGTCGGACGCGCCGGTCACCTACACCGTCCTCGAGCGCACCTCCGAGTTCAAAAAGTTTGGCGGCCCGATCCAGCTCGCGTCAAACGCGATGCAGGCGCCAGCGCTGCTGCCTCCTCCTCGCCGCTGCCTCTCTCTCCTCCGCCGTCGCTCTCACTGCCCAGCTTTCCTCGCCGCCGCCGCGCTCGCGAATGCACGCACCGCTCACAAGAGCCTAGACGGTTGCGTCTCGCCGCCGCCGTCGCCGCCGCCGCCCGCCGGCCCCGCCCTCAACCCCGCCGCCCTCACCTGTGCACCTCGCTCGCCCGCAGGGCTTCCGCTCGATCGACGAGGAGCTGTACAAGCAGATCGAGGCGCGCGCGACGTGGACCGGCAACCGGACCAACGGCATCAAGGCGCCGCCTCGCACCTGCTGCCACCTGCTGCCACCGCACCTGCTGCCACCGCACCTGCTGCCACCGCACCTGCTGCCACCGCACCTGCTGCCACCTGCTGCCACCGCACCTGCTGCCACCGCACCTGCTGCCACCGCACCTGCTGCCACCGCACCTGCTGCCACCTGCTGCCACCGCACCTGCTGCCACCGCACCTGCTGCCACCGCACCTGCTGCCACCGCACCTGCTGCCACCTGCTGCCACCGCACCTGCTGCCACCGCACCTGCTGCCACCGCACCTGCTGCCACCGCACCTGCTGCTGCCACCTGCTGCTGCTGCCACCGCACCTGCTGCTGCCACCTGCTGCCACCGCACCTGCTGCCACCTGCTGAGCCACACACACCGGCATGACACGAGCACGGCACCTTTGCGACGCGATGGCACACCCTCCCACTATCGTTATCGTCGCTGCTAGGACGGCGTCCGCGACGAGTGGTACGCAAAGTTCGACCTCCGCTCACCCGCCGAGTCGCGAGAGATGCCCTTCACTTGCGTGGTCGAGCGGCCGGAGCTGCAGGAGATCCTGATGCGGCGCACGCACGACAACCTGCGGCTCGGCGCCGGCGTCGAGTCTTACGAGAAGCGCAGCGACGGCGGCGTCGTCGCCACGCTGCAGACGGGCGAGCAGGTGCACGGCGACGTCCTCATCGGGGCCGACGGCATCTGGTCCAACGTGCGCGCGGCGATGACGGAGACGCCCGCGCGCGGCGAGGGGTCCGGCGTCACCTACTCTGGCTACACCGTCTTTGCGGGCGAGATCACCCGAGATCACCCGAGATTACACGAGATCACCCGAGATCACCCGAGATCACCCGAGATCACCCGAGATCACCCGAGATTACCCGAGATCACCGACTCTGGCTACACCGTCTTTGCGGGCGAGATTATTCGCGAGTGGCGGCAGGGCGGGCGGCTGGAGTGTCGCTCCGTCACGCGTGCCTGCGGACGTCGGGTAGGCGAGCTGGAGTACGGGGGAGGGGACCCCGAGTGTGGCTACAAGGTGTACATCGGGCCGCAGCAGTACTTTGTCATCACCGACATCGGGCGAGATGCAGCCGAGACGCAGCCGAGATACAGCCGAGATGCAGCCGAGATGCAGCCGAGATGCAGCCGAGATGCAGACGAGATGCAGACGAGATGCAGACGAGATGCAGCCGAGATGCAGACGAGATGCAGACGAGATGCAGACGAGATGCAGCCGAGATGGCAGTGCTCTCTCATCACCGACATTTGGGCGGTGCTGCGCCGCTGCCGGACCTTTCTCGGAGCCTCCTCCTCTGAGCCTTCTCTGAACCGCCCTCCAGGCGCGGCCGCTACCAGTGGTACGCCTTCCTCGCGCGGCCGGCCGACTCCGAGGCGAGGGCGATCTCTCACCTCTCAATCTCGGGTCGACCTCCGGCCAGATCTCGGCTCTCTCTCTCTCGCCCTGGACACGAGAGGGGTAGGCCAGCTCTCTGCCAGACCTCTGCTAGACCTCCGCCCGACCTGCCGCCGGACCCGTGTGTCAAGGCGAGCGAGGAGAAGCCGGACGGCTCCTCGCCGTACCTGCAGAACCTGTTTGAGGGGTGGTCGCCGGAGATCCACGACATCCTGCGAGTGACGCAGGAGCACGAGATCGAGCAGCGCGACTTGTACGACCGCCCTCCCTCGGTGCTCTTCAAGCCGCGTGTGCCACTCCCCATGACCTTTCCACGACCGCTGCGCACGACCTTCGACGGCCTCCCCTGCAGGTGCTCAAGCCGTGGAACAAGGGCCGCGTCGCGCTGCTCGGGGACGCCATCCACGCGATGATGCCCAACCTCGGCCAGGGCGGCTGCCAGGCGCTCGAGGATGCGCTCGTCATCTCGGAGCAGCTCACGTCCCTCTCGAGCCGCGGCGACATCGAGGGGGCGCTGCAGGGGTACCGCAACCGGCGCCTGACTCGCTCGGCGGCGGTGCAGGTGGGCAAGCCCTACCCACGCTCGCGATGCACGCCTCCCCCCCCCCCCCCCCCCCCTGCCCACCCCGCCCTCGCCATCCCCATTCGCGCCGCCTCCGCCTCCGCCGCCTCCACTGTCGCCTCCGCCTCCGCCGCCGTCGCCCCCGCCTCCGCCTCCGCCGCCGCCTCCCCACCGCCGCCTCTCCACCCCGCCCCCCTCCCCCGCGGCGGCTCAGGGCCTCTCGCGCTTCGCCTCGGACATCATCATCCGCGGCTTCGACACGCCGGCCAAGCTTGGCTTCTCGGGAGGCAAGCTGGTCGCCGAGAACCTCAACTACGCCGGCGTGGTGACGCGGCTGCTGCAGCCGATCCTGCCCGTCTTCTTCGCGGTGCAGTTCGCCTTTCTGTACGACGGCTGGGAGAACAAGTTCTCGCTCAAGCAGCTGCAGATCGGACTCTCCATCTTTGCGTTCGGCTCGCTCTTCCTCATCGCCTTCGCCGCCACCGCGGGCAGCGAGGTCGCCTTCGCCGGCGCCTTTGCCGAGTCCATCCTTGGTGCGCGCGATCCACCACGCTCCCACCTTTCCCACCCTCACGCCCCTCTCCCACCCCTCCGGGACCGGCACCGGTGCGCCCCGCCTGCTGCTGCCTCCCTCGCGATCTTCGCCCCTCGCCGCCCCTCGCCGCAGGCGCCGAGGCGCTCGAGGGCCTGTCTGTCTGGGCGACGGAGCAGAGCGCCGCCATCCAGGAGGTCCTCAACTCCCTCGGCGGCGGCCCGCCCGGCCTGTGAGCGGAGGAGGACTGCCGCGGAGGGGAGGGCCGGGACGGGGAGGCGCTGCAGAGGGCCATGAGCTGTGTGCACGGGCGCCAGTCTGTGTTCACGGGTCGAGTATGAGGAGGGAGAGAGAGCCGAGAGGCAGGCATGTATCGTGGGCTGGTGCGCGGTGGGTGATGCGAGAGGCATGGTGCGATGACACTTCAGTGACACGTCAGGGTCGGTGGGGGACGGAGTCTCCGCCGCAGAGGTGTGTGCGCGTCATCGTCTTTGCGCTGTCACCACCACACACACACAGCCGGCCCAGTTACGTTGTCGGGTGTGTGGGGGCGCGGTGTGGCCTGTTTGGCATTTCCTCTCTTAGATAGAGAGTACGTAGAGCCGTAGCATCGTCCAGCGACATCGTCCGGTTCTCCTTTTTGCTTTTACTCTTTGAGTGAGCGTCCGGCTTTGGGTGCGGCGTCTCGTCTTGGCTCTTTGCGTGTGAACTTTGACCATCCGTCTCCGTTGCGACTTGCGTGTGTCACACAGCCTGTGACAGCCACACCTCAGTTTACGTGTGGTCGTCCCCCGCCGGAGGCTCGTCGGACGTCGCACGTCGGGGGCAGTGTTGTACGCGAGACGCGCGGTATACAAATTACCGTGGAGATGTGTTACTGTGTGTCGTGGTCCGTCGCACACGCACGTAAAGCCGTATCGTGACACCCACCATATGCACACCGCACACGCACACACCAACACACACACACAACGTTGCCCTGTAAGACGTAACGTCTACGAAGCCGTAGCCCGTACCGGTGTAGCTCGGGGCTCTCGGCTCCGTGCCTCGCGCTCTCCGCGCACCGGTCACCGCTCACTCACGATCTCTCTCCGCTCCATCACTCTCCACGAACTCCAGACGCGCTCACACCACTCCGAACCTCTCGCGCACGGGCTCTTAAGAGAACTGTCGCGCGCCGCCTCACGAACACGACGAGAGGACGGTGGGTCAGGCCCACGTCTCGATCTTCTTGGGCAGCAGCTGGTTCGACACGTCCTCTCCGTGGCCTAGGCAGCCGCTTTCGCTCTTCCCCCAGCTCCAGGCAGCGCCGTCAGCGGCGAGGGCCAGAGTGTAGGTCACTCCAGCCGACACAGCGACGACGCGCTGGCCCGCAAAGGCGTCGATCTTCTTCGGCAGCAGCTGGCTCTGCTCGTCGCCGTGGCCCAGCTGGCCGCCGTGTCCATCGCCCCAGCTCCAGACAGCGCCGTCGTCGGTGATGCCGAGGCTGTGCTTGGATCCCACCGACACAGCGACGACGCGCTGGCCAGCTAGGGCCTCGACCTTCTTGGGCAGCAGCTGGGCCTGCAGGTCGCCGTGGCCCAGCTGGCCAAAGGCTCCATCGCCCCAGCTCCAGACAGCGCCGTCGGCGGTGAGGGCCAGGCTCCCTCGAAAATATGCGTCTCCAGCCGACACGGCGACGACGCACCGCCCAGCGAAGGCCTCGATCTTCTTCGGCAGCAGCTGGTCCTGCTGGTCACCGTGGCCCGACCGGCCGTCGGCTCCACTGCCCCAGCTCCAGGCGGAGCCGTCGGCGGTGATGGCGAGGCTGTGGTAGCCTCCAGCCGAGACAGCTACGACGCGCTGGTCAGCGAAGGCCTCGATCTTCCTTGGCTGCCGCTGGTGCTGCGTGTCGCCGTGGCCCAGATGGCCCCCGGGTCCGTGGCCCCAGCTCCAGGCGGAGCCGTCGGCGGTGATGGCGAGGCTGTGGTAGCCTCCAGCCGAGACAGCAACGACGCGCTGGTCAGCAAAGGCCTCGATCTTCTTGGGCAGCATCGCGTCGCCGTGGCCCAGCTGGCCGAGGCTTCCATCGCCCCAGCTCCAGATGCTGCCGTCGGCGGCGAGGGCGATGCTGTGCACCTCTCCAGCCGCCACGCTCACGGCGCGCTCGCCGCCCAGCGGGGAAGAAGGGAGGCGGGTCGGCGTGTTGAGCCGCGTCACGCCCTGGTATGTACTGTCGTGCCCGAGGTACCCTTCAGGTCTGAAGTAAGGGTCCCCGCCGTGCCCGAGGAGCCCTTGGTTGTAGCCCTCGGCGATGTTCGAGCCGCACGACGAGAGTCGCCCCTCGCCGTCGATGAAAACGCTGTGGTTGCGGACTGCCGCCGCCCTCGCCGGCGGGTTGGACTCGCGCAGCAGCGCAGCGATGCAGAGCCACCGCACGGCGCAGCCCTCGCCCTCCGGCTGCGCCGGCAGCTCGAAGCCGCGCTCTTGCGCCCACAAGCGGATGCCCTCCACCGCAAGCGAGGCGTGGAAGAGCAGCGAGACGGCCGCGACGCGAGCGATGTGGAGGGGGTCGCAGCGAGAGACGACGCGCACGAGGAGCTCTCTGGGGAGGTCGAGGAGGCGGGCGGGCGGCGGCGTGTCCGGCGAGGGCGCGGCGGTGGTGGCGGAGGCGAGGCGGCGCGAGCGGCGCGAGCGGCGCGGCGGGGTGGACATCGCAAAGAAAAAGAAAAACCCTGGCGCGAAGAAAACCGCCTTCCCCGTCCTGAGAGCGGTTCGAAAACTGAAAACAGAAAAATGCCACCCGAACTCAAGCGAATTTTGGGGGGTGTGGACGACTGCTTTGGGGATCCTGCCAACGCGCTACAGTTGTTTTGTTTTGTTTTACAGTTGTAGCCCGACTGCACATAAGATCTTAAGATGGACACCTCAACGGGAGGGCACTCGCAGCAGGCGGGGCCGAATCCTGCAGCCTTAGACCTTAGTCTTGGGAGAGAGATTTTTTTGTTTTGTCTTGGGGGCCCGATCCGGCGGCATGCCACGGGTAGGCGCGTTGAGGCTTGCCGCCTCCTCTGCGCCAACGCGGCCAACGCGGCCTGTGCCTTCATTCCACGCGGCTTGTGTGAGCGATCGAGCAGCGCGCGCGGGAATGCGCCAACTGAAACTCGCGGAAGACAGAAGAATTCGCCGTGGACGCTTGCAGAAGAGTAATTTGGTTTCTTTTTCCTTTTTTAACTTCTCGGGAAATTTCAACCGATCTCTGCGTGACAATCAAGGACTCGATCCACGCCGAGAGATCAAGCCACAGAGAGCACAGGCGAGCCGCCGCCCCAGCCCTTTTGATGTGCTCGTCTCGCTCGCCCGCCGCCTCCCACGCCCTCCCCCGCCAACCCGGCCCCTCCCCCACGCCTCCGCCGCCCCACCTCACCCCGCCCCTTCCGCCCGCCCGCAGAGCAACCACACGAGCAATCATGGGTGACGAGCAGCTGACCGAGGAGCAGATCGCCGAGTTCAAGGAGGCCTTCTCGCTGTTCGACAAGGACGGCGACGGCACCATCACCACCAAGGAGCTGGGCACCGTGATGCGCTCGCTCGGCCAGAACCCGACCGAGGCGGAGCTGCAGGACATGATCAACGAGGTGGACGCCGACGGCAACGGCACGATCGACTTCCCCGAGTTCTGCACGCTGATGGCGCGCAAGATGAAGGACACCGACTCGGAGGAGGAGCTCAAGGAGGCGTTCCGCGTGTTCGACAAGGACGGCAACGGCTTCATCTCCGCCGCCGAGCTGCGCCACATCATGACCAACCTCGGCGAGAAGCTGACCGACGAGGAGGTGGACGAGATGCTGCGCGAGGCCGACATCGATGGCGACGGCCAGATCAACTACGAGGAGTTTGTCAAGGTCATGATGGCCAAGTAGGCTCCTCCTCGGGTCTCTCGCCGGCAGCAGCGGGCGCGCGCAGTGCGCGGCGCGCCCAGACATCAAGTCGAGTATGGGTTCCGTGTGAGGGCGGGGTAGGTGCGCGCGTGCGCGTCTTGAGTTTAGCCTCGGACCGTGTCGCGGACCGCGGACGCTTTTCTTCTACGTACAGGGAGTTCCAAACCGAGAGCATCCCAGTGGCGCGATCATCACACTCCCTTCCTGTTCCTCCACATCGCACACATCGTGATGCGCAGACTCTCCACTCCACTTTTCGTTGCCCGGTTGCCGTGCTCGATCTGAGACGGATAGACTGAGGCGTGTGACAGGTGCCGAGCGCGCTGTATGTGTATCTTCTCTCCCGGGTGCTCTCGGCTTCTCGGCGCGCGCGGGGCCAGGGGGCGCCGGCGCGCGCCGGGCCCCGCGGCCGCAGCGGCCGGCCGGCAGCGCGCTCGAGCGCGCGCACACCGCGGTCCGCGCCACACGATATCTCGGAGCGCCTTGTCTCTACCTCCGCCGCCCACCGCCCCTGCCCGCTGCACCGCTGGGCGCTCGCGCGAGCCGAGCGAGTTGCCGGCCTCACTTTGCGCTGGAGAGCATCTCCTCGAGCTCGGAGAGGTCCTTCTCTCCGGGGAAGAGCTGGCCGCCGACCTTAGGGGGGGGGGGGGGTGCGGGGGAGGGCTCCGGCGGCGAAGGGGAGGGCGAGGGGGAGGGTGGTGAGTGAGGGTGGCGGCAGGGAGCGGCAGGGAGCAAGCCGAGAGAGGCGGTGTCAAAGCAAAGTGTGAGAGAGAGGCCACAGCACGGGGGGGAGGGGGGGTTGGGGCGGCGGGTTCGGGTCACCTCCCAGGTGGGGTACCCCTTGACCCCGGCAGCGACGCAGCGCTCGTTCTCGGCGCCGGCGCCGTCGGGCGAGCACTCGACGTAAAAGCCGCCCTCGCCCATTGCCTCTGCGCCGAGTGTCTCCTTTTGGCCTGCGGCGGAGCGGTGTCGGGGGCGGTCGAGATGGTGTCGGGGGCGGCGTCGGGGGCGTGCCGAGGACGCGTCGCGGGCGTATCGGGGATGTCGTGGGCGTTTGGGGAGGGAGGGAGAGAGAGAGAGAGTGAGTGAGAGAGAGAGACAGAGGGAGAGAGAGAGACAGAGGGAGAGAGAGAGACAGAGGGAGAGGGAGAGAGAGAGAGAGCGAGCGAGCGAGCGAGCGAGAGCGAGAGGAACGAGACGGGAGCGAGGAGCGAGGGACGAGAGAGCGGAGAGCGAGAGCGAAGGCGCCCTCGCCGCACCGGCGCAGTGCGAGCACCACCAGGCGCCGTACATCTTTGCGCCTCGCGCCGCCAGCCTCTCCGACAACTCGAGCGCGCGGCGGCTGGAGTGGGAGGCGATGGGGGCGGGCGACCGCTCGCCGAACGGCGCCATCTCCTACAGCCGAGAGACGCCGCCGAGGTGCCGCCGAGATGCCGCCGGGAGTGCCACTCTCCTCGCCGCCGCTTGCTCCTCCTCCGGGGTGGGGAGGCTGCCCTGCGCGCTAAAGATGGCGGCGGCGGCGGCGGCGGCGAGGGCGGCGCCGCACCCGGCCAAGACCGCATCCTCGTCCGTCCGTCTCGTCGACGGCAGCCGCCACGCGAGAGCGAGCACCGCGGCGGACAGCCCCGCCGAGAGCAGGCACAGTCCGCACGCGGCCTGCAGCTGCAGCAGCCGGACGAGCAGCGCCAGCTCAAAGGCGGCCATCCCGCCGCCGAGCGCGAGGAGCAGGTCGGCGCCGCAGAGCGCCGCGCCGTCGCCCGCCGCGCCGCGCGCCTCGCCGCCTCGCGAGAGGGGCGCGAGCGCGAGCGCCGCGACGCCTCCGTAGGCTGCTAGCCCGAGGCTGGCGAGAGGCAGCGGGCCGACGCTGGCCCACGGCCCGGAGAGCACGTCGGCGCATCCTCCGCCCACCGACGAGCACATCGCGCCGAGCGCGCCGCCACCCCACAGCTTGTCGGCCGTGATGGCGCCCGTCTCTGCACAGCCGACGGCGGCGACGGCGGCGAGCGAGACGCGCGCGCTGCGCTCTGCGTCGGAAGCGGCGGCGTCCGGGCTGTCAGCAGTCATCCGCGCCGCTCCGGGCGGCGGCACGTGACGCTGCTGCGGCAGATGAGGCGCTATCAGCGAGGAGCTGAGCGCGGAGAGCGGCAACATGTGGGTGATTTGGGTTTTGTTTTAAAAAAGAAAAAAACTTCTGATTGCCGAATCAGCATGTCCCTCGTCGTCTCTCTGCTCCTCGCTCGGCCGGGCGGCGACTCGGGTGGTGCAGAGGCGCCGCCGCTGCGCGTGCGCGCGCACGAGGCGGCGCTGGGGCACGCCCGCTGTCGGACAAGCTTTTGGCGAGAGCAGACCGAGCATCTTCACCGAGCATCATCGGATCGACCCGCTCTCCTGCAACGAGCCGCGGGAGGGAGGCTCGTACGATCCGGCTGGAGCGGCGGCGCGTGGCGCGCACATGCCCTGCTCGCCCGCGGCCGCTGAGGCACACCCGGCGAAAGCCAGCTTTGCCCCCTCGACGTCGTTTGCGAGGCTCACCACGCCGCCGTGCTGCGAGTGCGGCGGTGGGCTCGTGAGGTGCGCGTGGCCGCGCGTGGCGCGGCTGTTGCTGACCGCTGGTGAGGTTGTAAAGCCATCCTCAAGCCGAGGCTGACATGTTTGTAGAAGGTATTCAAAGTACGAAGGTGTGGTGTCACACCGGTGGGGGGAAAGGCGCCAGCTGCGCCAAGTTGTGGTGTCACAACAGTAGAGAGGTCGACTGTCTCGCGGCGCGGCGGCCCCACGAGAAGCAGTCGGGAGACTATGACGTGCCAAACTTGCACAACGGGAGTTGGGGAAGCGTGACATGCCACTACTTGCCCGCATTTGTGAATGTGCCGCCAAAGAGACAGACCGGAGATGGCGGCGCGATCACAGAGGGAGGAGGCGGCTGCAGCAGCAACGGTGGTGACGAGAAGGGCATCGTGTAGTGCAGTGCGCCGTCCATCTGCCAGCAGCCCCACGGGGCGCCTGCTGGGCATGTCGACGACTGTAGCGGGCCCAGGCGGCAGTTGTTGCCGGCAGATCCCGCATTTGTGAATGTGCCGCCAAAGAGACAGACCGGAGGGGAAAGGGGATTAGGTGGAGTGCGGCATTCAATACAGTCTGCGCACGTGCCGCTTGCCCAGGCGCACTTATTCGCCCAATCCCTGGTGTTGGACTGGCAGCCGGGCGGGCAGAGCGGCGGCGGCGGCGACGGCGGTGACGGGGAAAGGGGATTAGGTGGAGTGAGGCATTCAAAACAGCCTGCGCACGTGCCGCTTGCCCAGGCGCACTTATTCGCCCAAGCCCTGGTGTTGGACTGGCAGCCAGGCAGGCAGAAAGTGCCTACACCTTCCCATGGCTCCACGTCCCCGTCGGGTGAATGGGTGAGGGAAACGGCGAGGAAGTTGTGCAGAAGGAACAGTCGCGACATTTGTCCCACTCGCACTTCGTGTCCCACGGATTAGTCTTGGGCGCGCAGAAGCGTTCGCACGCCCCGAGAACAGCAAAGAATGGCGGCAACATCCGCCAGTTCTCTGACCCTAGTCTCTGATGGACGGCCGCTACAATGGCGAAGCGTGGCGGCGGCGTATCGAGCCACGTACGCCATCGAGGGCGTGGCGAGATAGTAGAAGTGAGCACTTCAGCATTGGATAGGGTCGATTCCCTCGCTCGATCGTCTCGCCCTCCCTCACTCACTGGTGTGTTCCTTGGGGGGGGGGGGGGTCGCCATCCTTGTTATTTATTGAGAACGCGGGAAATACCTACACACGGGCTATGGAGCTGCGCGCTGGTCTATGAGAGGTGAGGTGCGAGCCCTGGAGGCCCTGGGGATGGGTACCCTTCTACAGGGGGCCCTAAAGCGGGAGGCCGACCGACGAGGCGGTCGCGCTGCCTCCGTGCTGGCAATCTTTCCATGTCGGGCGCGGCACGAGAAGGAAGACTGCGCACGTCCTGCTGCTGCGGCCGCTCATTCCGCGATTGCACCGGCCGGCCTCTGCATCGTATGTGAAGGTGCCCCCCGCCTTGCCGTGGGGGGGGGGGGGGGGGGTGGAGGCGGAGAGGGTGGCGGTGGCGATGGCGGAGGGGAGGGTGGCGGAGGGGGAGACGAAGGCGGCGGCGGAGACGATGGTCGCGAGGAAGCCAGCTCTCAGAACCCAAGCCTCTCTCACAGCACGCTGGCACGACAGGGGCGCGGACTGGCGCGGACGTGTCCTGTTGTCAGCGTCCGCTCCGATCGGCACTCGAAAAAGAAAAAATCGCCCCAAAATAAAGAAAACTCGGCGGCTCCCAAGGCGCTCGTCGGTTCAGGAGCGACCCCAACGATCAAGCTCGGGCCTTAGCCATGGTGCTCGAGAAGATCTACGTCGGCGTGACGATGGCGAACAAGTGGACGGACCCCACGTCCTTGCTAATCATCGGCCTCGCCGGCGGCGTCCCTGCGCTGCTCATCGCCGAGGCGCGCAGCAGCCTCGCCACCGTGTGCACTCCTCGCCAGAGCCGCCGGCGCACCACCAGCGGTACTCGACGCACGCCCGCAGCGCCTCCACCGAGCGCTCCTGCCGCACGGACGCCACTGCCACGCGCGGGAGCACCTCCGCCGCTCGCCACCGCCGCCGCTCGGCCTGACGGCACGTCCTGCTCCTTCAGGTGGCGATCGCGCTCAAGGTGGGGCTGGTGTACACGGCGGTGCTGCCTGGCCTGATCTGGCTCTGGTACCAGTTCCACCTCCGGACGCCGCCCGCCGACACTGAGGCCTTCCTCACCTTCAAGGACGCATCGCTCCGCCGCAGCTGGGCAAAGTGCGCCTCGCGGACTAGATGCAGATTAGATGCGGGCGTGGTTGCTTGTGGTGGCGTTCGGCCTGCCGCTCGAGCGCTCGGCCCCTTCCGACCCTCCCTCCTCCCCTGTGCACGTCCCCGTCGACGCTGCCTCCCTCTCGCGCCATCTCTCCGCCGCTCGTCCCTCCCTCTTGCGCGCACGCACGCAACGAATGCACGCACCGCCCGCGTTGTGCCGGGCCTTGCAAGCCCGACCCTCACAGCTCCCCTGCCCCCGCAGGAACAAGATCCCGATGCACATCCTTGTCGAGGCCTTCCTGGACGACAAGGTCGCCTTCAAGAAGGACGTCTTCAAGACGCTCGACGAGCACCGCGAGGACTTCATCGACTGGCGCCCCACCTGGAACCTCGCCCTCTTCCTCATCCGGCAGGTGACCCTGACCCTGACCCTGACCCTGACCCTGACCCTGACCCTGACCCCACCTGGAACCTCGCCCTCTTCCTCATCCGGAAGGTGACCCTGACCCTGACCCTGACCCTGACCCTGACCCCGCCTGGAACCTCGACCTCTTCCTCATCCGGAAGGTGACCCTGACCCTGACCCTGACCCTGACCCTGACCCTGACCCTGACCCCACCTGGAACCTCGCCCTCTTCCTCATCCGGCAGGTGACCCTGACCCTGACCCTGACCCTGACCCTGACCCTGACCCTGACCCCACCTGGAACCTCGCCCTCTTCCTCATCCGGCAGGTGACCCTGACCCTGACCCTGACCCTGACCCTGACCCCACCTGGAACCTCGCCCTCTTCCTCATCCGGCAGGTGACCCTGACCCTGACCCTGACCCTGACCCTGACCCCACCTGGAACCTCGCCCTCTTCCTCATCCGGCAGGTGACCCTGACCCTGACCCTGACCCTGACCCTGACCCTGACCCCACCTGGAACCTCGCCCTCTTCCTCATCCGGCAGGTGACCCTGACCCTGACCCTGACCCTGACCCTGACCCTGACCCCACCTGGAACCTCGCCCTCTTCCTCATCCGGCAGGTGACCCTGACCCTGACCCTGACCCTGACCCTGACCCTGACCCCACCTGGAACCTCGCCCTCTTCCTCATCCGGCAGGTGACCCTGACCCTGACCCTGACCCTGACCCTGACCCTGACCCTGACCCTGACCCTGACCCCACCTGGAACCTTGCCCTCTTCCTCATCCGGCAGGTGACCCTGACCCTGACCCTGACCCTGACCCTGACCCCACCTGGAACCTCGACCTCTTCCTCATCCGGCAGGTGACCCCTACCCTGACCCTGACCCTGACCCTGACCCTGACCCTGACCCTGAGCCTGACCCTGACCCCACCTGGAACCTCGCCCTCTTCCTCATCCGGCAGGTGACCCTGACCCTGACCCTGACCCTGCCCGGGACCTTGACCTCTTCCTCATCCTGAAGCTGACCCTATCCCTGACCCTGACCCTGACCCTGACCCTGACCCTGACCCTGACCCTGACCCCACCTGGAACCTCGCCCTCTTCCTCATCCGGCACGTGACCCTGACCCTGACCCTGACCCTCACCCTGACCCTGACCCTGACCCCACCTGGAACCTCGCCCTCTTCCTCATCCGGCAGGTGACCCTGACCCTGACCCTGACCCTGACCCTGACCCTGACCCCACCTGGAACCTCGCCCTCTTCCTCATCCGGCAGGTGACCCTGACCCTGACCCTGACCCTGACCCTGACCCTGACCCCACCTGGAACCTCGCCCTCTTCCTCATCCGGCAGGTGACCCTCACCCTGACCCTGACCCTCACCCTGACCCTGACCCTGACCCTGACCCCACCTGGAACCTCGCCCTCTTCCTCATCCGTCAGGCGCCGCGAAGCACACTTGCACACCCGCACTCGCACACGCACACTCGCACACACGCACACGCACTCGCACACGCACACTCGTTCGCACACGCCGCTCTCTCGCATTCGCACACTCGCCCAGCTCCCGGCGACGCCCTCCTCCCCGCGACGCCCTCCTCTGCTCCCGCACCTTTGGCGGCCTCGCGCCTGCCGCACTTTCCTCTTCCGTCGTCTTTGGCGTGTCTGTGACGCGCCCGCCGCGTGCCCCCCAGGCCCTCCCCTCCACCTCCTCCTCCTTCAAGTCGATCGCCGCCACAAAGAAGGAGATTGCAGACCACTACGACATGGGCAACGACTTTTTCGGCGCCGCGCGAGACGCCCGCCGGGCGGGGCTCGCCTCGTGGCCAATCTCGGATCATCTCGGAGCGTCTCGGCGCGTCTAGGCGCCTTCATGGGCCCGCTGATGATCTACACCTCCGCCATCTACCACGGCACTCTGCCCACGCCAGGCTCGGGCGCAGTCGCAGGCGCCGTCCCCGAGCCTTCCCGGAAGTGTCCGTAGGCCTGCACCAGACGCTCGAGCAGGCGCAGACCAACAAGCTCGACACCATCTGCGAGAAGCTGCACCTCAAGCCCGGCCAGCGCATGCTCGACATCGGCTGCGGCTGGGGGACGTTGGCGCGGCACGCGGCGAGCCGCTTCAAGGCGGGCGGCTGGCCGAGCCCCGCCAAGCCGCCGCCGAGAGAGTCCCAAACAAGGAGCGCGGTGGGCGCAGGCGCGCTCCATCGGGGTGACCCTCTCCAAGGAGGGCGCGGCGTGGTGCCGCGAGCAAAACGCAAAGGAGGGGCTGTCGCAGGAGCAGTGCGACATCCTGATGTGCGCGCCGCTGCCCCCCCCCCCCCCCGCCCCCCCCGCGCGGCGACCCGCCCCTCCCCGGAACCGTCTCGGAACTCTCCCGGAAGGTGCGACTACCGCGAGATCCCGCGCAGCGACGGCGCCTTCGACGCGATCTCGGCGGTGGAGATGGCGGAGCACGTCGGGTGCGCAGCCCTAGCGATGCGAGGTCGGCCACTAGTGGTCGGCCCCCCTAGTTCGGCTGCACTCCGCTCGCAGCATTCCAGCCGTGTCGGTTGTGGTTCCCCGGCCCCGGAGCAGAGGCACACTTCGACGCGCGATGCGGGCGTGCCTGCCCCCTCAGCGCCCCCGCCCCCGCGCACTGCAGACTCGCCAACTTCACGCAGCCCTTCCTGAGCTCGATCTTCAAGATGCTCAAGGACGACGGGCTCTTCTTCATGCAGGCGCGAGGCGCGAAGTGCCTCCTCCCACCAAGCCATGAAGTGCCTCCCATCGACAGCGCGCTCAAGGGACACCCCCCTTGTTCATGATGCGGGAGCCGTGGACTGGCCCGCCTCCCAATGAGTCGAGAGTCCCAATGAGTCGAGAGCGCGACGGCGATGAAGTGAGTTGACTGCCTCGGAATGAGTCGAGAGGTGCGACGCCCCCCCCCCCCCCCTTATGCAGGTGGCTGGGCTGCGCAAGGGGTCCAACTGGCAGGACGTGCAGTGGGGGCTCTTCATGTCAAAGTACATCTTCCCCGGCGCGGACGCGTCCACGCCGCTCTACTGGTACACGCAGCAGCTGGAGAAGGCGGGCTTCGAGGTGCACTCGGTCGAGAACATCGGCCGCCACTACTCGCACACGCTCAAGGCGTGGTACGACAACTTTCAAAAGAACAAGTCCAAGCCCGAGATCCAGCAGTACCCCGCGCGGCTGCACCGGCTGTGGGACATCTTCCTCGCCTGGTCGGTGGTCGCCGCCGGCCAGGGCTCCGCCACCTGCTACCAGATCGTCTCGCACAAGAACCTCTACTCCTTCCCGCGCGACAACTTTTGCTCCGACCAGATTGCGCGCCCGACTGGGCCGCGCGCCTGAGCCGCGCCCGCCGCCGCCGCCGCCGCCGCGCTCGGGTGTCTGCGCCCGCGGGCCTTCTCGAGAGGAGGAGAGGGCGAGGGGGGTGGGGGTGGGTCGGGGCGACGCTGGGGGAGGGGCCAGGGGGGGATCTCGCCTCTGGACTAAGCGGGCTGCATGGAGAACTCTTGCGGCCGGTGGCCTGCCGCGAGCTGAGACACGCGCCCGCGATGCCGGAGGGTTTCGCGCGCCCGCGTACCGCCCCGCAGCGCGCGTGCGCAGTGTCCGCCAGGAATTGAGAGCATGCTCACACCAACACATTCACATACACACCGCGGCCGTGTTTGTCCATAATGTATTTATCACTGATCGAGCCACGACGATGCGTGTTGGCCCGCTGTGCGCACACACCTCTCACCTGGAGCTGGACCTCTCTGGCCCCTCTGCGTGGGGCCCCGGCCGTGGCGCGTGGGCGCCGGGGGCGGGGCGCCCCGTGGCCGCGCCTGGGGCGCGAGATGCACGCCCCCGCGCCTGTGGCTGTGTGCCCTCTCTCACTGTGGGGTTCAGCGGCGCTGTCACGGCGGGCGCGCGCGCAGGAACCTCCTGTCCTCCGCAGCCCCAGGGCGCAGGGGGGGCGCGTGCACATCGCGCGGGTCACATCGCGTCTCGGGGGATGCTCTCGTCGTCGTCCACATTACTCGAGATTCCACTCGTGGGCCCTGGGGCGCCTGCCTATTCGTTCTTCTCGTTTGCAGGAGGTTTCACACCACTCACCACAGGCCACTCTATGCAATGACACACCTCGCCCCGGCCGGAATGGGGCGCTGTTTCCCCATATTGCAGAGAGAGCTCGCACGACATACAAGTTATACTTGTTCAAGTTTGGGACCCGGCGTTTTGCGCCTCACCACGCGCCCCCCGAGGTCCAGCCCGTTTGGTTGCCTGTTGGGCGCGGTTTGCGCGCCGTGCTGTGCTTGAGCCAGCACTGCCGGTGCTGCCAGCCGCACGCCGCCTTGTCGCCGCACCACACCCAGGTGTTGCAAGACTGACCGGACGGCGCGGCGGTGTGCGCCGAGCACGCGTTGCAACAGGCGGTCGCGTTTTCCGTCAGCAGCTTGTACCCGTCGCGCACGACGAGACCCTCCAGCTCGACGCGGCTTGCAAAGTCTCGTGGCCCACACTTCAGCTTCGCGGCGTCTGCAACCGCGGCGGGCGGCGGCGTGCCTGCCTGCGCCGCTCGAGCTTGTTGTTGCAGCGCAGCCGGCGGCGCGGCACCGGCAGCTTGAGCGATCCAGCCCGAGGTCCAGCCGGTCTGGTTGCCTGTTGGGCGCGGTTTGCGCGCCGTGCTGTGCTTGAGCCAGCACTGCCGGTGCTGCCAGCCGCACGCCGCCTTGTCGCCGCACCACACCCAGGTGTTGCAAGACTGACCGGACGGCGCGGCGGTGTGTGCCGAGCACGCGTTGCAACAGGCGGTCGCGTTTTCCGTCAGCAGCTTGTACCCGTCGCGCACGACGAGACCCTCCAGCTCGACACCAGCGTCGCCAGCAGCGCACGCCGACTGCCGGCCTTGCGGCTGGGAAAGCTGAGCTGTTGGCGGTTGGGGATGAGCCTTCGGCGGTGGATGAGGCTTCGGCGGTGGATGAGCCTTCGGCGGTGGATGAGCCTTCGGCGCTGGAGGATGAGCCTTTGGCGGATGGGCCTTTGGTGGAGGGGGGTGAGCCTTTGGTGGTGGCGGTGGGACCAAGCGCCTCGACGGCGGGGGCAATGTTGACGTCGGCGTCGGTGGCTGGCCTTTCGGCGGCGGCGGCGGCGGCGGCGGCGACTTGCCTGGCGGTGGTGGGATCGACAGCTGCACGCGGCCCGTGTTTCGCTGGCCCAAGCCTGCGGGCGGAGGCGGCAGGGGAAGCTTCGCCGGTGGCAGAGGAGACGGCACCGGAATAGCGCCTTCAGGAACAGTCCATTGGCTGGCTGCTGCTGCTGCCCATGGAGCGGAGAGGGCCAGGTCAGTGCGGAGCTTGGCAACCTGGGCGGGGCTGACAACACTGCGCAGGGTGACGAGCGCGCAACCAAACGCACCGACAGTAAGCAGCCATCGCCACACGCATCGGTGGCACGCCAAACGCTCGCCAACACGCCCGCTCAGTCGCACCTTGCCCTCCTTGTCGTCCTCGGCGTCGGGTGCACTCCTGGAGCCGAGATGGCTCTCCACCAGCACGCGGATCGGCGACTTGGGGTCCCGCCGGCTTCGGGAGGCTCTCATCGCAGAGTCAGCCCTTCGGCGGGCACCCCTACAGAGTTTCTAGCAACGTGTATATTTTTCTCATTTTGCGCTGGCCGGCCAACAGGCCAAACGACGTTCTGCCGGCACCTCGGGGAAGTCGAGGCTCATGTTCTCGAGGTTCTCGAGGTGGATATCCTTTGGCCGCGTTGGGTAGCGAGGATTGGTGTAACCCGAGCCACGGAGGCGTGTTTTCTGACGGCCGACCGTCAGTGCACGGAGTTGCCCCTTCTCCGACTGCCCCGGCTAGTTCCCGAGTTTCGCGGGCTCATGTACTATTGAGGGCTAATCGCTGTCCGCGAAGACCGAAGAGGCCGCGACCATGCGCGCGCGAGAGGATGCGAGACGACACGCAAGCGGACCACTTTGAGTTCACGCCGCGTCGTTGCTGGCCGCTTTTCTTCATTCCTCGCCCCGACCGACGTTGGCAGCTCCAGCAGCCCTACAGCAGCTCCACAGCAGCTCTACAGCAGCTCTACAGCAGCTCCAGCAGCGTGCGCGATTCACGTTGCGCTCAGCGTCGTGCACGGTTAACCGACGTTGCGCCAATGGGCCAATCCAGGCGACTCCCCTACTTCCACGGCGGTGGCGAGCGACCGCTGCTGCGCGGGTCGGTCATGGCTAACCTCCTGCTGGTCTGGCCTGTCGCGGTGGCGGTGCACTTTGGCGCCGTCGCTCTCTTCGAGCCGCGGCCGGGTCGCGCAGCCATCAGGCTGCTCGTCGGAATCGCCACCACGCTCAACGTTTTCTTCTCCGACCGCTACCACAACAGCGACCTGCGCTACCCCGACGGCTCCGCCTCGCAGCGGACGGAGCGCGAGGTGGCGTGGCTGAGGTGCGATTTTGTAGGCACCATCTCGACGAGCGGCGGCGTCCATCCCACGCATGCGGCAGAAGGTGCCTCCTCCGCCTCGTAGGCATCTCGCTGGTGCTGTCCACCACCTTCTTGCTCTGGACGAGCCACTTTGGTTGGCCGGCCTCTCTCGCCACCCTCACCTGGCTCACCGGAGCCGCCACCGCCGCCGTCGCCGCCGCCGCTTTTGGCCTCTATGGCCGCGGAGACGGCAAGACTCGCATCGCAAGAGGCTGAGAGTGTCATGGCGCGCCACTGACGCGTCTGCAGCATGGACCCGCAGGCGCGATCCGCACCGCCGAGGCGATCATCAAGGCGACGCTGGGGGTGCAGTACGTCTTCTTCTTTGGGTACATGGTCCTGCTGGCCCTCCGCACGCCGTGCGCTCCGAACACCGCCATCTGGTACGCCCGAGGGATGCGCCGAGATCTGCCGCACGCCGCCGTCTGGTCCGAGGCTGCTTCGCCCTCTGTGTGTGTGTCGTGTGCTTGCGCCATGTGCCCGATCCGCCCTGTCCCAGGTTCACCTACCTGCCCGGCTTCCTCTCGTATGCGCTCAAGTGGCCCGCCGACGGCGGAACCGCATCGAGAGTCACGGCGCCCAACAGCTCAGGAGTACGACGTCACGCCTCGAGCTGAGAATAGGACCTGCCTGGGGCTCGCACGACGTCTTCCACGTCTTTGTGCTGCTGGGGCACGCGATGTCGGCGCTCTGCGACGCCGTCAACGTGCATGCGGACTGCATAGTCCAGTGACGGAGGTGTTGTGCGGTACAGATAATTGTGTTGGCCAAAGTTGGTCTCTCGAGAGCAAAAACTCTGGGCCGGCGCGGGGGGCCCCCCGGAGGCACCGTGCGCCGCGCCGCAGTTAGGGGGCCCACAGCGCCCCAAAATCCACCACTGTGGGATTTCGCGCAAAGCTTGACTCTGAATAGCTCGCTTGTACCTTTCTGAAGTGTCTGAAGCGCTGTGGTGTCGCCGCAGACTGGCTCCGACTTGACGGGCGCATGGAGATGTGATGCCTCCATGCGCCCGTCAAGTAAAAATCGACATGCAGATCGATGGTTTGCCCGAAAAGGTACATGGCGGCGTTTGGCGACAAATCAGCGCTGTGACCGCGAAGTGGCGGTGGACATGCTCCCATGTTGCCGACCCCGTCGGGTCTACCCGTCAATGCGGCAGGTGGTTTGCTCTGGCTCGCTGCCACCGCGGTGGGTCACCAAGGACTTTTCAGCGTGCGGCGTCATCACCGCGCGGCGCGCAAGCCACGCCTCACCCGAGCAAAAGCAACGATCGCGCGCCGCCGCCGCCCGCCTCGCCGCGCCGCTCGAACCGCGGACCGGCCTCGACCACCGCCGCTGGCGGTTCTGCAAAGGCACTCAAGGGCAGTGCCTCATATAACGTGAAATAGTGCGAGCGCGCAAGATACTCACCCGACCCACCGTTCCCTCGCGAGAGAGATCTCGCGCCGCGCGCGCTCGCACACGCCGCCCCGAGAGCACTCCCACCCCCGCCGCCCTCAAGCTCACAGGTTGATTTGAGGAGAAGCAGCTGAGGGAGATCAAAGCGAGAGAAGGCGGCACGGCGGCGGCGGCGCGGTACCCCCCCATCCCCACGCCTCCGGGTCGTGCGTACCGCCTACGGGCGTGAGTGTCCCCCCAGCGTCTGCGTGAGAGCAGACGCTCCGGTAACCAGGCCGAGAGTACCAGGGAGGAGAGGGGAGAAGAGCCCAGGGAGGGGAGAGGAGAAGAGCCCAGGGAGGGAAGAGGAGAAGAGCCCAAGGCGGCCTCCCTCTCCCTCCCGTCCCACCGGGCCTCCCTCTCCCTCTCCTCCCACCGGGCCTCCCTCTCCCCCTCCTCCCGCCAAGCACCGACAGTCTCGAGGGGCCAGCCGCTGGGGGAACCACCTCCGAGGGGGGGGGGTGGACGTACGCCGGCGGCATGAGGGCTTCAGCCACGCAGCTACCAAGGGAACGCGACCCACACAAAGCACCAAAGTTAGGCATACCCCCCGGCGCAGTGTCCCCCGCTATGTGTCGCCGTTTGTCGGGGCACGCTATCCACCTATCCTGAGTGTGCAGTCAGGGCAAGTGGGGGCGGGGCGGACAGCCCAGGAGCGTGCTCCTGGGACCTCTCTTCCCAGTCCGGGGGTGCGTCGAACCTTCCATCACCCTGGGAACGTCCGGGTGTTGGAAGTAAGGATATATTACTTTTTTTCCCATGTTGCCGACGCGGCGCCGGAGTGGCCGGCGCTGCTCGCCGCGACCACGACGGCTACTCCGATGCTCCGGGCCTACCCGTCCTACCCGACGGTGGCACTCTTCCACGTCTCGCTCATCACGCTGAGAAAAATTCTGAGACGCGCAGCAAAAAAAGTCGCAGATCCCGATCATCCGGCCCGCTGGGTGCGCTCCTCAGCTCCCCGGCCCTGGATGTGAGGCTGATGACTGCACTCCAAGTGCTCCAAGTCGCCGACGACTCTCGGTCCGCGTGACTCCTCGCGTGTCGCGCATCATTCTCACCCATCCATAAACTCACTTTGGCCTCACTAAAGCGAGGTCTGAATCCTTAATCCACAGATTTTAGATTAGGACGCTGTGGGCCCTCTACCGCAGTGCGGAAACGGGCGGGGCTCCGGCGCTCAGACAGAGTCGCTCAGAGCACCGACTTCCCGAATGATTACGGTTGATTAGAGGGCAGATTTGGAGAGATCTCGAGGAGTACATACAGATAGACCCTCTAATCATAAGAAAACTCTAACCTGATCGGTCGTACTGACCGCCGACAGATCACTCCAGACAGCAGACAGGCCGACGAGCGACGTCTCTCGTCTGCACGCGGCCGGCCGGGCGAGAGGCTTGACACGATCCGACGCTGCGACCCTGACGCTGCTGCTCTAGCTATCAGCCATGCACTGCTGACTGCTGCCACAATGTGCGACCTGTGCTGGCCCACTTGGCGGCCTTCACGGTCAGTGGTGAGGCGCAGTTCAGAGCTGTCGATGGCGCGATGCCGCACTGGTCCCACATTGGTAACACGAGACCACCACGTTTGCCGGTCCAAGAGAGAGGCGCTGGTGCTGTCCTGAGAAGTGCGTGGTCCCTCTTGACTGCCCATGCGCGCGAGGCTGTGTAGGCATAGCATCGAGAGTGCCAGCAGCCAATCTGAGGCAGTTTGTGACGCGCATTGCGTCAGAAGCGTGCACGCAGCTGGAAGGACACCTTCCTACTGGCCGCACGATCAGCTCGTCACTGAATGCTTGATACTAAGGCCGCGAGCTATGCAGGTGGTCAATTGTGCATCATGGCACGGTCAGCAGCGCCGACAGGCTGTCGCAAGGCGTGATAGCATGGCCGCAAGCTACGCCGATTCCCATTTGCCATGAAAACAAAGTAAAAGTAACGCAAAAAAGAAAAATCCGAAAAATTCGGCGCCTGCGGCGGGCCATGGGACCCCATCTCCCCCCCGCATGGACACCCTCTGGGGCCCCCGCGCCCCCCAGACGCTGCAGGCGCCGGTGTCGTGCGAGGGAGTTTCGTTCTCAAAATTCTTTTCAGTGCGCGCCAGTCCCGAAAAAGAAAGAAAGAAAACAGACAACCCAAGGGAGGGATGGGAGGACGGCACGCCGCCACCCTAGCCGCCACCACACAGGGATTTTAAGGAGAGGTGTGTGGTGCGCTATCCGTCGCCCACCCTAGGGAGTCTGCCTCTTCCTATCTCTCTTCGCAGTCTCTCGCCGATTCTCGCGCCAGTCCCGTGCCCAGTGTGGGACCGCTTTAAAATTCTTTTCGAGGAAGCCGTGACATCGGCGTGCTACTGTGAGGACAGTGAGGCCACCACGCATCCCTCGCTGCCGCCACACGCTGTACAGTTGACGGATATGGGCCTGATCGATATTGCAGCGACGAAAGCCGGAAACGAGTGGCTCTTTTGCGCCGTCCCATCGTGCTGCTCTTCGGGAGGCTGCGCGAGCACGATCCGGTCTACCGCCCACAACAACGGAATCATCATCGGCATCCAGTTGGGCGAGCAAGACGCCAACGAATATTGCTGCATCTCCCTACGCTGCTGCTTGGGCGCCAAGTACACGCCATCCGGCGTTGACCAACTCCCTCTCTTTCCGACCTCGCTTAGCGGGCCGGCTGACGACTTGCTCTGCCAAGTCTCGACCCCATGCGTGCAGGCGCACCGCCTAAATTAATTACTGGCCGGCCACCTGACGGCTACACTGCCGTCTCTCCTTCACGCTTCCTCAGAAGCCGTTTTTTTCACCACAGGAGCAGTCACACCACTCCCCCTCCGGCGCCCACTCCACCGTCCCCACCCCACAACCCCGCCCCCTAGGTCGGTCTCCGCAACGAGATCCGTTCGGAGCACCTCTGCGCCGCGAACTCGAACCTCTGCTGCATCCACATGATGGTTGACCTGCCAGAGGCGGGAAGCGATGTGCCGGGCCACTTGTGCGCCGTCGCCGGACTCCGTCTCGACCCCAAGCCGGTTATGCTCGCGTCGCCGTACCCGCCAGAGGCGCAGTCGATCTTGAGGTCGTCCTCGCGCCCTTTCGCTAGCTGAGCGGGGCCCGGGCGCCCAGCGGTGGCCCGCAGTGGTGGGCGCCGCGCCTTGGATCCACAGAGGGGGGCTGAGGTGTGAAGAGGCTCGTCGGCGGTGGGGTGGGAGAGCGGAAACCTCTAGAGACGCGGGCCTCCATGTCCATCTGCGCTGCCGCGGGGGGGGCGCACCGTGGCCGGTACTAGTGAGTAGGTGTACGTGGGGCTAGATGTGGGGCAATGTGCGCTTCTATAGCGCCCACAGAGAGCGCGTGGCGCCCCCGCCCTCCGGCTCGTTTGGGATTTCCGCCTAGACAAACGCGAAACGGGGCTCCGGCTCTCCGTACTCCGACCTCCGTTAGTCTCCGTTAGCACCGACTTCCCGAATGATTACGGTTGATTAGAGGGCAGATTTGGAGAGATCTCGAGGCGTACATACACAGACCCTCCAACCATCAGAAACTCCGACCTGATCGGTCGTACTGACCGCCGACAGATCACTCCAGGGACAGCAGACAGGCCGACGAGCGTGGAGGCTGGAGCGTCGAGCGACGTCTGCACGCGGCCGGCCGGGCGAGAGGCTTGACACGATCCGACCCTGCGAGACCCTGACGCTGCTGGTCTAGCTATCAGTCATGCACTGCTGACTGCTGCCACAATGTGCGACCTGTGCTGGCCCACTTGGCGGCCTTCACGGTCAGTGGTGAGGCGCAGTTCAGAGCTGTCGATGGCGCGATGCCGCACTGGTCCCACATTGGTAACACGAGACCACCACGTTTGCCGGTCCAAGAGAGAGGCACTGGTGCTGTCCTGAGAAGGTGCGTGGTCCCTCATGACTGCCCACATGCGCGCGAGGCTGTGTAGGCAACATAGCCTCCTCGAGAGTGCCAGCAGCCAATCTGAGGCAGTTTGTGACGCGCATTGGCCATTGCGTCAGAAGCGTGCACGCAGCTGGAAGGACACCTTCCTACTGGCCGTACGATCAGGTCGTCACTGAATGCTTGATACTAAGGCCGCGAGCTATGCAGCAGGTGATAGCAGGTGATCAATTGTGCATCATGGCACGGTCAGCAGCGCCGACAGGCTGTCGCAAGGCGTGATAGCATGGCCCCGCAAGCCGCATGGCCGCAAGTACCGACTAGGACTACCGTGTAGTACGTCGAATTCCCATGAAAACAAGTGAAAAATGGCACAAAAAATCGAAAAAATCGGCGCCTGCGGCGGGCCTACTGCCACACATACGTACCCCACCACCGAAAGAAGGATCAGGTACAGGTTCAGCGGCTGTTCACACTTCAGGATCACATGCATCATCGCAGATACAAAGACGTGAGGACAAAGAAGTTGCGGCCCCGTCTCTCCTCACAGGGCGGAGGAGCCAGTGCATGCTGTCCGACGATCACACTAGAGGCTCCCCTTCCCTCCCCGTGCCCCCGTCCACACGTCACAGACCGTCTCTCCTCTCCGCATGCCTCGAAGTGCGTCCGTCGACCGATGCGTTCTCACGCCAAACCGAGCTTGACCAGCTCGGCCTGGTTGCGGCGGATGTTGCGCTTGCGCTCCCTCTCGATGTCGGCCTCGTCCTCGTCCTCGTCCTCCTCCTCCGCGGCGGCGGCGCGCCTCGGCCTACTCGCCGGGGGATGAGCGCGTCGAAGGAGCGCCGCAGCAGCAGCAAGCGCTCGGTAGTACGCGGAGACGTCCGCCCGCGACTGCGCCCCGCCGCCCGCCCCCCGCACCGCGCGGGACCCCTTGCTCAGGCTCGCCTCGTGCGCCTCCCTCGCCGCGTGCAGCGCGTCCGCCCGCGCCTCCTTGCCCAGCTTGCCCTTCCTCAGGTCCCGCCGCTCTGCGACCGCGGCACGCAAAGCCGCCTGCGACGGCACGCGGCGCTGATCAGCGCAGAAGGGGCTGTGCAGCACTCGCCGGCGCGATTAAGGGCAGGCCTCGGGAGACGTGTCCTCTGGAGGGACGCACTCGGGCTGCTCCTCGGCCGGCACCACGCGCCGGCGCGGCTCCTCCTCCTCCTCCGACTCGCCATCCCAGTCGCTGTCGTCGCCCTCGGAGGAGGACCCGCCATCCGAGGCGCCGCTCTCGACATAGCTGTCGTCGCCGTCGCTGTCGCCGCCACGCGAGGGCTTCGCCTTGCCGCCCGCCGCAGTGGCCCGCCGCTTGGGCCGTGGCTGTTCGTCACTGTCCGAGTCGTCGGCCTCAGAGGAGAGGAACTGATCCTTGAGTGTCGCCGCAAAGCGATTCGCAGATCGCTTGGCAGCGGCGCGCGGCGGTCTCGACGAGGACATGCGACGGTGCCCGGGCGGTCGAGAGGCCATGGCTAGCGGTATGAGCGGCCAGTGCTGCGAACACGACTTTTTCTTTTTCACTAGGGGGAGACGACGATCCTCGCGCCCGATCGGCCCGCGTTTCCCTTTTTGTGGAGTGGCATGAGCGAGAAATGCATAATCACAAGAGCTCGCACACCATCATACAAGCGGCGGGAGCGCGGTGGCAGGCCGCGCACATGATCCCAACCCGGGAGGGGGGCGACCCGATGGTACACAAAACGGGGACAGGCAAGGACGCTCACACCTGGTCCTCCAGGTAGTCGCTCAGCTTCTGCGCGCAGCCGGGCGAGCGCAGTTTCTGCAGCGCCTTGGTCTCGATCTGGCGCACGCGCTCGCGCGTCACCTGCAGCCCCCTCCCGATCTCCTCGAGCGTGCGGGCGCGCCCGTCGTCAAATCCGTACCTCATCCGGAGGACGGAGGCCTCCCGCTCGGTGAGCTTGGAGCGGAGCAGCTCGGCGAGGTCGTCGCGCATCATCGTCCGCTCCTGCACCGCCTCCGGCTGCGGCTTGACGTCGGCCAGCCGCGACTGCAGCGTCGCCCCCGCGCTCGCGCCCGCCTTGTGCCCCCCCTTGACGCCCGAGAGCTCGGTCTCGAAGGAGACGGTGGTGACGGCGGCGTTGCAGTCGATCTGGCGCAGCTTGGCCTCGGTGATGCCCATCCGCGTCGCCAGCTCCGTCTCGGTCGGCAGCCTCCCGTGCGTCGCCTGGAACTCTCTCCGGTGCTTGCGGAACGCATTCATAAGGTCGTGCATGTGCACGGGCACGCGGATGGTGCGGCTCTGGTCGGCGATGGCGCGGGTCATCGCCTGGCGGATCCACCACGTCGCGTACGTCGACAGCCGGAAGCCCAGCGCAGGGTCGTACTTTTCCGCCGCCTTGATGAGGCCGAGGCTCCCCTCCTGAATCAGGTCCTGCAGCGTCAAGCCCTGGTTCATGTACTTTTTGGCAATCGAGACGACGAGGCGGAGGTTGGCGGAGACGAGGAGCGACTTTGCGCGCTGCATCGCCTCCAGTTCCGACGCGTACTGCGCCTCCCCCCCCTGCAGCTCCAGCGCCCCCGCCAGCTCGACGTGGCTCGGCGCGCGGCCGAGCGCGTCGGACAGCTCCTCCTCGACTCTGCTCCAGCGGAGCAGCTTCTGGACGGCGAGGGAGAGCTGGGTCACCTCCTCGGGCGAGAGGAGCCGCTGCTTCCCGATCGTCTTGAGGTACCACTTCATCGAGTCCTGCCCCGCCAGCGAAGCCTTGCCCGGCCTCACCGGCACGCCGCCCAACGCATGCGTCTGCTGCTGCGGTGGGGGCGGCGCGACGGCGACGCCCGACTCGGCGGCGCGGCGGCTGGCGGCCACGGCCGCAAAGGCGGCGTTCAGGTCCTGCGTCCGCGCCGCGTCCGCCGCCTTCCGCCGCCCCAGCACCTTGTCCCCCTCGTTGAGGACCGAGGCGCCCACGGACGCGCCATCAAAGCCCGGCGGCAGAGAGGGGCCGGCGGCGGGGGCAAAGCCGGGGGGGGAGAGCGGCGGCGCCAGCTGCTGCTCGCCCACCCCCGCGCACTGCTGCGCCTCCCGGCTCAGCGCGGCCAAAGGCGCAGCGCGCGGCGGGGCGACGACGCAGATGGCGGGCGGCGCAATCGGCAGAGGCAGGTGGCGGAGCGCGGCGGAGAGCGGCAGCGCGGCGAGCAGGAGGAGCGGGGCGACCGGCGAGCGCGAGGTTGAGGCGGCGGAGGAGCTGGGCATGCTGTGGCTGAGGGGCGTGAAGCTAGAGCTGAGGACGAGCGCCCACGCGCTTGTGGAGCTCGGGGCCGCGAGCTCGACCTTGCTTGAGAGGTTTCGTGAACAGTTCGTTTTTCTTGCTTTGGGAAGGTTCTCACGTACCACATCAGTCAGTCAGTCAGTCTTACACACCTCCAAGCATGGAGGACGGGCCCACACGCACACACACGCTGCACACGTTTGGCTGGGAGCCGACACGAGGCACACTGTCACCGGCCTTAGCACCGGGTCCGGACTGCTGGACACACAGCACGCAGCTCACAGGACAGCTCACGAGGTGGCGCTACATAATGGGGTTCTCAGGGACTGACGCGGGAGAAGAATTGTGGAGCACAGGGATGGGGACACAGAACTCACGAACTGATATCCCACCCCGCGCCGGGGGCGGTGGCGCGCGCGAGCGCCGGGGTATTTGGACCCGCAGTCTGGCAGGCGCCAGGCCACAGACCCGCCGGCAGAGCCTTGAGCCGCATCCGCGATCCGCGCCGGCTCTCAGAAGAGATCCGGCGCGGTGCTGACCGCGCCCTCGGAGTGGACCATCGAGTTTCGAGTACTCGATGGCAGTCCAGGAGAGCGGTGCAGCTGCGGCATCTTGTCGCAGTGCGGCATGATGTCGCAGTGCGGCATGCGACACTCCTGCTGCAGCGCGCGCGCGCGGTGGTGAGGAGAGTGCGAGCCCTTGAGCTGCTGGCGTAGTCTATCGCCGGCGCGTGCGCCGGCCTTGAGGTAGTTGGCGCCAGCAGCTAGCCCAGGGGCTGTGGCCCTGCGCGGTGCGCGCAGGAAATGCCGAGCGTGCCGGGGTCCAGCCGGCCCCGCTCGGGGAGTTGAAGGCGGCCGCCGGTGGTGACAAGGGTCTCCGGAGAGGCCGAGTGGCGGCCGCCACTCCGACGCGGCGCCGGTGGCGGTGCGCACCACCACCAAAAG